CTATGTTCAGTCTGTTGGCGATCAGAAAGTAGCTTCAATTCAAAACCAGCTTGCATCTCTGAGTCTTAAAGACGCTCCCATTGTTGGATCGTTTAACCCTAAGAGGGGTGACATCGTCCTTGCACAGTTTAGCCTCGATAACTCGTGGAACCGTGCAATGGTAAATCATCAAATCTCTAAATATCATAACCTTTATTTTCTTCTTTTCTTTTACTTTCTCCTATGGGTATTTATTGTTTTTCTACTTTGTATTCAGATTGTTAATCAACCAAAAGGAGCAGTTCAATCTCCAGAGGAGAAATTCGAAGTGTTCTACATTGATTATGGAAACCAAGAAACAGTTCCATACACAGCAATTCGACCTATCGATCCTTCGGTATCCTCGGCAGCAGGACTCGCGCAGCTCTGCAGACTTGCCTACCTAAAAGTTCCAAGCCTAGAAGAGGACTTTGGTCCTGAAGCCGGTGAGTATTTACATACCGTAACACTGGGCAGTGGTAAAGAGTTCAAGGCAGTCGTAGAAGAAAGAGATACTTCAGGAGGCAAAGTGAAAGGCCAAGGAACCGGAACCGAGCTCGTTGTTACTCTCATCGCTGTCGACGATGAGATCTCTGTCAATGCAGCAATGCTTCAGGTCAGTGCCTCCCCTTGTCTTGTAATCCTCAGTAGAGTGTTTTGCATATGTAAAAGTAAAGCTGAGAGTGAGATATGTTGTTATGAGCACAGGAAGGAATAGCGAGGCTGGAGAAACGCAGGAAATGGGAACCGAAGTACAAGCAAGCTGCTCTTGATGCTCTTGAGAAGTTCCAAGAGGAAGCTCGCAAGTCTAGGACCGGAATCTGGCAGTACGGAGACATCGAGTCTGATGATGAGGACAGTGTTCCGGTCAAGAAGCCTGGTCGCGGGTAAGTTAAAACTTTATGATCAATGGTGTTCCAAAGAGGCATCATGAGAAGGAACAGAGAAGCAAGGTGCTTTTCTCTTTTTAAATGAGTTAAAAGAACAGAGCACACTTTTTGTAACGTTTAGAACACTTTTCCCCCTTTTTTAATTTATCTTCTATACTTTTTTTTCCCCGGTTTTATAGACTTTCCAAAGAGAAATTTTACATTTAGGTGTACGAAACGATGTTCATGTTCTTTATTTTTGTTTTACGAACAAAAAATCATAATAAGGTGAAGTAACTTCAGGTTATCATGTGGACAACAAAAAGAGGAACTTTCATATAATGTAGTCGTTTAAGCTTTCTTGGCTTTTGCATTTTGCCTCCAGTATTCATCTTCTCGCTGTAGTTGTATAAAATTATTAAAATATATATATATATATATATATATATATCTCGTTTGACATTATAATTCACGGTGAAATAAGGTCGACATTAAGTATGAAAGGACTCGAGAACAAACAATTTGATCACAGCACCAAAGTAGTAGCTATTACCTCAAGACTCGAATAGAATGTCCAAAAAATTCAGATTCCTATTTTTTGTCTCGAGTTCGATCTGAGAGGGTTTTCCGGACCACCTCAAAAACATTAGGCCCAATGTAACACGAAGAAACAAAAAAAAAACTTACTACTTTAACTAATTGAGATTTGAGATTCAAGAGGCCGAACAAATTACAACATGTACGGTGAAGCATTAGTGAGAAATGTTGGGTCTAGACTTAAAATTATCTTGGTGTGGAAAGGATCATGCAGTGTTGAATGATCATTTCTCACACAAGATGAACATGTGTTTCTGCCTATGCTAATACTGCTCCACAGGGATTATTGAATCCAATGAATGAGTTACTATTAAATTCGAATACCTTGTCAATGTCAAATATTTTCCTCTCGGACTAGTGAATTAAACGATATCTCCTATTAGTGAAACAAAACGATCAAATGTTTTAAGTGATACTATATCGATATCTTTGTGTGCTGTTTTGAGGGTAAAAGGAAGAAACGGAAACTAGTACATTTTAGCTAATCATGTCACACTTACATATTCTTGTCTCCTCTTTCTTTTCTAGCGCCCAAAGACAAAAATCACAACTTGGTTTTACACCTTATAGGCGGCTACAGCAGAAAAGAACATTCAACCCAAAACACAAATAAAAAAAAACAAAAACACAACAAAAAAATCTGATATTCCCTTTCATATCTCGAAAACTTTGCTTTCGTCTCTACTAAAAGACTTGTCTAATTGTCACGTCTCGGTTGCCTTTTGCGAGGAGCCGCGGTTTCTTCCTTCTTCTCTGTCTCATCCTCACTCTTTGAACTCTCTCCTACTTCTGGTTTCTTCTTCTTCTTCTCTACAACAGGTGCCGCCTATAACAACCATTTTGTTTTCTCTTAGCTTCACTCGTCGCATTATCTTACAAAATCCAAAAAAAAAAGCCACAAAATCCAAAAAGGAGTTTTACCTTTTTACCACCGAAGATAAGCTTGAAAAAAAGCGAGAGGAATACGACCACGATCGAGACGAGGACACCAATTGTTATGTTTGGTTGTTGCTCAGCTTTCTCAATCAGTTCCTACAAAAACAAAGACACACATTTAAAATCAGTTGAGTCATCATCGTCATCACCATAACGTTCGATATGGTTAAATCAGTTGAGAACTTACCGTGATCTTAGACTTGTAGGCACTTAGGAAAGAAATGTCTGCAACCTTTTTCAACAGGTCGAACACAATCTTCTGCAACATCATGCACATACAAGAAAATATAACTGTTAGTATTACACGAGAAGCTGTATACATATCACGAATAAGAGTTCAATTTTGGGTACAATCAGTTTACCTGGTAGCTCTTGAGCCCATCTTTAGAGCCAGCAGCTTCCTCTTCTGCCTTTTGTTTCTCTTTCTCAACATCGAATTTAGGCTTCCACGTTGTCTGCCTGTAAGTTTCAGCGACCTTCTCGTCTTTAGCTATCAAAACGTTGTCAAACAAGATACCGTCTTGCATCGTCCAGATCTCAATACCGATGGCTGCAATGGGTTCGAAATCAGGTCTGTCTAGCTCAAAGTAGTCAGGGTTAGGGATGTCTCTGGGTTTCCAGATTCCCTTGTAAGCTGGGTTATCAATAAGAGGTACACTCCATTTGCCCTTGTAAGCAGGATTCCTCTTCATTGGTCTCTTCCATTCGCCACAACCAGGTCCTGCTTCACACTTGGGGTTGTCGATCTTCGGAGCCTCCCACATACCATCTTCTTCATCATCCCAATCTTCAGGCTTGGTCGCCTCTGGGTCGTCAACCTCCTCAGGCTCATCATCTAACCATCCTTCTGGTTTCTCAGCTTCCTCATCTTCGATCTCCATGGGTGCATCCTCGTCCCAGTCATCAGGCTTGGAGGCATTTGGATCAGGAATCTTGGCTCTTTCATCCCAGTCTTCTGGTTTCTTGTCTTCAGGGTCAGGGATGGTCTTGGCAGGGATCAATGAAGGGTCAAAGTCTTCTGCAGAGAGTAAGTTTGCCTTTTTCTTTTCCTCTCCATCAACCAGAATTCTAACCTCGTTGTCCGGTTTCAAGATAGCGGTGTACACATGGGAAAGCTTATCATAGGGAACAGAGGGAGGGAACTTCAGATGGTGCTCAACGTACTGGCCACTCTTGGGATTCTTGTGCTTCAAGATGAAATGGACTTTGTTTGTGCTTCCACACTTGTCAGGCCCAAACATGATAGAGTAAGGGGATTCACTATCGAACCCCTGAGGAGTCCATCCAGCTTCCTGAGGACGGAGGTACTTCAAGTAAGCACCACCACACTCGAGCCCCTCTTGGAAACGAACCTCGTACTGAAGAACAATAGTACCGTCCTTGAGGTTTAGAGGCTCGTCAAGCTCTTTCACTATACCGTACTTACGGGCCTTCTCGCTTACGAGAAGTCCGTAATCCTCATGTCCCTCACTCTTTGCATGCTTCCACACACCTGAAACATACAAACTGGTGTTAACAAAGAAGCTTCTATGCAAAAGTGGAAAATCATCAACAGTCACGGTTCAACTTTTACAACACAAAATGCACTAAATTGCTTCCTCTCCAATTCAACATGCATGTATAAATGACTCTGCAAATCTATTTGTAAAGAGCCGGAATTACAATTTCAGACTATTACAAAGAGAACATTTGCATCATTAGACCAACCATTCAACATAATGACGTGATGTGATGAATTATGCTACCACATAGTCAGATTTGATTCCAGTATATGTTGAGGGCAACACATTACAGTGTATTTCAATACTTGAAGTATGAAACATTACAAATTCCAAATACAAACATGGATCGTAACAATACGGATACTAACTACAATGCAGTGAATATTTGCAGATGTAGTGTACCTTCATATTCAGCATTCTTCGAAACGATCCAGCGACCATCAAATGGCTCATCGAACGACTCATACAAAACCTGAGCAGAAACGAGAATCCAACGAACGTACTCAGTTAAACACAGATCTAAAAATCTTCGGATCTAGCAAGAGTATTCTAAAAGCGAAAAGAAATTTTAGAGGAAATCGAAGTTACCGTTTGATCGTCACAGTAGCAAAGCTTCTGGAGCGAAACGAAAGCTAAGATAAGCAAAAGTCCGGAGAATAGTTGCCGTTCTCTCATTCTCGCAATCCTCAGAAATGGCGAATCGAAACCTCTGGATCTAATCGGCCAGAAACCGGAGTTTAGAGTAGATCGGAAAAATCCTTCGCGGAGGAGAAAGAGTGAAATGTAATTTCCTAGCTTTCAGTTTTCTGTGAATATTATATATTCAATCCCGTAGACCCGGTCGAGTGTGTCATTTTGCTGTTTCCACCAATGAAATCGCTTGCCACGCGACGCCAACCAATCATAATACGACACATCACTCAAAAGCGAGCTCTTCTACGTGCACGGTTGGTTATTGCCACAAATGTTAATATTTACACTTCTAGTTGAGCATAAATATTGGGCTTGGGCCCACTATACAATTCGAGAGTCTCTAGCCGAACGAGAGTCTTCCAACTAAAATTTAAATGATGATTATTTAGGACAAAACTTTACTAAATCCAGCATTCTTCTTAACTTTCTCGTCACTCTCCATCACTTCCCTAACCCTAACCACATCCTCCCATCTCTCTGCATTAGCATACATTTCCACCATCACTTTATAAACTCCTCCATCCTCAGGACTCAACGCCTTAACTCTCTCTGCAGCTTTCTCTGCGACCTCAATGTTCCCATGGATCCTACACCCGCCCAACAAACCGCTCCACGCTAAGAGCTTCTCTCTGTTTCCTCCATCTCTAGGCAATTGCTCAATCATCTCCGCTGCTTCCTCGATCAACCCTGCTCTTCCAAGCAAATCCGCCATACAACCATAATGCTTCATCTCTCTCTCAACATCATACAAAGATCCCATTTGGTCGAAAAGTCTCTTGGCCTCATCAACTAAACCAGAATGGCTACAACCAACTAAAACGCTTATGAAGCTTACTCCATCTGGTTTAACACCAGAACTAACCATCCTATAGAAGTAATCAACTGTTAGCTCTCCGTTACCGTGCATCGCAAGACCAGTGATCATCGCATTCCACGTGAACAGAGTTTTATCTGAACATACGCTGAAGATCTCCATCGCTGTATCGATGAAACCACATTTCGCGTAGAAATCAACCAATCCGGTAGCTAAAAACGAGTCTACGAAAAGTCTGTTCCTTTGCGTGTAATCATGAATAGCTTTCCCTTTCTCCAAATCCCCTGTTTGCGCACAAGCTGAAAGAGTCGAGACAATCGCGACGTTATCCGGTTTGAAACCTGAACCGATCATTTCGTCGAAGAGGTTGATCGCTTCTCTGCACTGATTCATCTGAGCATACCCAGCGATGAGGCTGTTCCAAGATACCAAATCGCGAAACGGCATTGTATCGAACAGCTCTCGTGCACGAACAACCTCGCGGGCCTTCACTAACCCATCGATCAACACATTGTACGTGACAACGTCTCTCTGAGGATTTTCGTCGAACAGCTGCAAGGCACTATTGATCGAGGTGTTCGATGAGTAAACGCGAATCAGAGTGTTCAATGTGAACAAATCAGATAACAATCCGAATCGCAAAGCTTGACAATGCAGCGTCTTGGCTAATGTGAGACTAGCGTTGCTCTTTGCACAAGCTTTGAATACGAAAGGGAATGTGTGGAAATCGGGAGGAACAGAGCGACGTCGCATCTGGACGAAGAAACGGTGAGGGGACAGAGACGGCGCGTGGAGAGTGTAAACTCTGATGATCGAATTGAAGCAAAACGTCGATGGGTTAGTGATGGATTTGAAAACTGACGACGCATATCTCACGACCGCGTTCGGCGCCGGCGGTGAGATAGAGGTGATAGCGAAGAGGATATTGGCGAAAACAGAGCTCCGGTTGAAACCATTAGAGTTTCCGCCGGAAGTGAGGAATTGAGCGTGAAGCTGATGCAGCTGTTTTAGGGTTCTACACAGCTTCAGGAGATTCTCCACTTTTTGGTTGCGATGTAAACAGTTACTAGAATTTATCATTTGATTGATTGATCAAAGAGCTTTTTTTTCACCTAGATTCGTTGGAAATCGACATTTGACTTGAAATGGTGCAAACGCTTTCTCTTATAAAGGAAAAATTATGAAGTTTAAGTTTTCTCCATACAAACTAACTTCTCGGGAAAATGAATCACCAAACTACTGAAGAAGAATCATAAATTCGACATGTCCAGCTACATTTTCTACACTAGAATGAGCTTTTACCGAATCCATCAAACCTGAAAAGTGGAAAGCTTAAGTTTTTTTTTCGCCATCATCAAGGAGCTTGAAACTGTATCTCTGTGAACACAACACAAGGTAGGTTCTTGCTTTATTCAATCAATGGCCAGACTTTTCTTCATAGCTTCGTAAACAAGATACGAAATGCTTGCGGAAGGAATGACTTTGAAAAGATTGGGAAAGATTCCTCTGTAGAAACCTCTTACACCTTCTCCTCTTAGCGTCTTCAGAAACTCTTGGCTCATTGTAGTCTTTGTGCTATCAGCTTGCATTCTGATTATTGCATGACCAAACAAACTCAGTTTAAAACCGCAGAAAAAAGACTAGTGTGTTTTTGAGTTTTTACCTTGTTCTAATGACCTGCAATGGGTAAACACACGACGCTCCAAGAGCTCCAGACGTCATTCCACAGCCGAGTTGTATGAGAGGACCAGGCTCTGCTCAGGAATAACACAAACTGTTTAAGGTCATGTTGAAGATTAAACAGAAACTCTTTAAGCATCGATTAGTCTATCTAACCGTAACCGGAGTCATGAAGAATATACGTCCTAGACAAGTCTTTAAGACTTTCGTAAGCAGCAAGATCAATCCCCGCGTAAGGTATGATCCCAATAAGAGAAGGACAAAGACCCTTGTAAAACGCTCGAGACCCTTCTTGCATCCAAATCTCCCTTGTGAGTCTCCACAGCTTCGGTGTCTTCCCAAGCTCACTCACACAAGTCTGTAACCGAGTCTTCACAAGATCCATCGGGTAAATAGCGGTTTGAGCCACCGCACCAGCCAACCCACCAGCCAAAAGCCTCCCGCTCGGACCAATCTCACCATCCGCTCCACCGATCATCGGTTTCAACATCTCGTAAGCAGCGAACTTAATCGCGCTCTCGGGAGCCACTTTCGTCACGTTCAACCCGTTCCCCCTGAAGAAACCAGACAGCTTGTCTTCTCTCCATATCTTCTTAATGGTCGGGACCACGCCCGCTTTCGTTCTTTGTACCTGCAAGACGACTTTGAGTCGGTCCAGCGGCGCGGTCGCGGTTCTTGAAATCGCTCCTGCGACTCCTCCGGCGAGAAGCAGCTTGCTTCTTTGAGCGTGTTTGCTTATACCATCTGGTATCACAGCTTGCTCACCAATGTCTATCAAGCACACTCTCTCCCAGTGATGATAAATGTTCTCAATCGTTGCCTCGTGAGGGTGCAGCAAAAGAAAGTCTCTCCACTCTTCGAACGTTATGATTCCGTTGTTGTCCTTATCAACATGCTCCATAAAAGCAGCGAGCTCCTTATCTTTAATCTCAATGCCTACAAGAACATAACTGTGACACAATTAACATAAAAGCTTCTCTAAAGAGCCACATTTGCCACAGAATCACATACCAGCTTTAAGAAGAGCTTCCCAGAGCTCCTCAGGGCAAATGTCGCCACTGTGTTCGAGATCAATGGCTTGGAAGATCATGTAGAGCTCAAGCTCCTTGGCGTCCATGTAGCGACGAAACTCGTCGTAATCCACGCGCCCATCTCGATTGGCGTCGCAGACTCTGAGGAAATCTGCGGCGTATCTGTACTTTGGAGGAATCCGGAGCGAAGAGAGACCTTTCTCGATCTGGGCGTCGTCTAAGAAGCCAACGTTGGAATCGTCGAAGAATTTGAACAGGCTTCGGATCCTGATCTCTCTCTCTTCCTTGGTCTCGCCTAATGCCACAAGCACATGCTCCATCGTTGCGGATTCGGGCTTCTTACCTGGATTTCGTTTGGATTTTCCCGCCTCCATTGCCGATTCACGATCAATCGAGAAAAAACCCAGATGGAAATTCGAAGACTTTGAGCAATTCTAGAGTTCCTTCATTCCGGGAAGAGTCTCTCAGTCCAGGAAGAAGTACAATTTCAGATCAGAATCCAAAAGAGACGCTCATTGGATGATTCCCAATGTAAAGCGAGAACGGTAACAACAATGTGTAAATCTGTAAGAGAAGTGAGATCACAGATTTGACTTTCAATCTCACACTAATTAGTGAAGGTCGATTAAGCAAAATATCTGCCACAAACTTCCCTGGAGACTTGTCCATTATTGGAGAATTGTCTCCATTACTTTTTTCTGGACCACTCCCGATGCTTCCACGTACACACATAAAACACCACTCACATGACGCCGGTATGGTTTGGTTGAATCACTACAACGGATCAATTTAAACCGGTCTAGCTGATTTGAACCAGAACAGTGGAGTCAATTGAAGTTGGAATGTTGGTTGGATACAGAACTGCTCACTGACCGTATGATTCGGGAACATTTGCTCTAGGGATCACAGATTCTAGATAGTATTTCTGGAGCTGAAATGTATTGAAACTAAAATAGACAATGAAACACCCACAAAATTTGGATGTGGAGCAGTTCATATATTGGTGGTATAGAGATTAATTATCCGTACTAATGCAAGTAATAAAAGATTTTGGGACAAGACAACGAATATAAAAACATTGCTTATGCATTTATACTGTATTTCATTATTTGACAAAGCAAACTTGCACACGTAACCTGTTACACAAATACCACATAGGAAGAGGACCACAACATTTATTTATTGGTAATAAAAGAAGAACAGAGCAAACCAATTCACTTTGAAGAAAAATAGCTTCCAGTTGCCGACATAGTTTCACTCTTAAATGCTAAGTGATTGGTAATGGTAGCCATCTTCCCGGTTCTGCCTCCGGTATACCACAGCGGCTGTTAGAACCACAACCGCGACCACCATCGTCACCGCAAGAAAGGCTAACAAGCTCTCGCTTTTCGTCTGTGCCTGCAAATGAAGTGAACAATACTAACCTAAGTAAAGTAAATATATAGAAACCGGTTTGACCTAAACCGAGAACTGTTACTGGGTGGTTACCTGAAAGAGTGCAGGCAGGGAGATCTCCGGTTCAGGCAGCTGCTGAGCAACGATGATGTAAAAGATTCCCATAACTCCGGTATGGCCAATGGCACTACTGTAGTTAAACTCCATAGTCAGAGTCTCTCCATAGCTAACTTTCACTGGTTCTTGAGGATAACAAGTCGTCATTCCAACAACGTAACCAGCTTCGTTTCCCGGTTCGACTCCATTGCCATACTTTGGCATCGAAGTGCAAATTCCCTCACCGCCCTGATCACCCACAACACAAAAGTCTCACTTTTCGTAAAAAGATTTGCATTAGCTTCATAATCCGTCGTAGTTAATTACCTCTCGGGACAGAGAAGCGCCGAGACCACCTGAGTGCAGGTGAGCTCCGACGTGGACAATATACCCGTTAAACGGCATCATTAAGCTCTTCTTCTTGACATCAACGCATCCATCGCCATTGGTTTTGCACGGTTTCACATCGTATTCCACCTAGAAAAAATCACAAGGTTTTTAAAAAAGAGTGAGATCGAGAAGTAACGGCACTAGCACTAACAAGAGATGCGAAAGTTTTAACTCACAGCGCAATCATGTTCTTGGATATCTCCTGTAGATCCCTCTTTTCTTTCCCAAGAATCCGTAACATCGAGAAGATAAACCTTAGCGGGCATAACCGAGCTGTCCCAATCAACCCATCTCACGGTATACTTAAGATAGATACTTCTTGTTTTATTCCCATTGTCAAATCCGTTTCTCACTAGACACTGAGTCTTATCGGAGCAGCAGTGGTAACCTCCTTTGTAATCAGGTTTTATTTCTTGACCAATGGTTACGTTATACAGATCACATCTGCACTCCGCGCATCCTAATTTGTCCACAGTGCCTCTCGTGTCTATGGCGTGAATGTTCATTAGCCATTTTAACTCGAATCCAGCAGGTGTCTCTTCGGGGTTGCCGATTTCGATCGCGTAAGGATCAGGAACATACGTCGAGGTCTTCCTTGTTTCGCCTCCTACTCCAAATAATGGCCTGAACGGGTTATTGCAGAGCCCTGCGTTGTTCACAAAAACGATATCGGAACTCCAACCAGCAACAAGATTCCTATCGGGATCTTGCTTCGAACCAAGAACAAGATTCCTAAGCATGTCTCGCTGCGAAAGCTTGAAACCTTTACGCGCGTAGACCGGTGCGACCGCAAAATGGTGAAGATAGGTCTCGTGTAGAGGGACGGAGTTTCCGGCTTCGTCGACTAGTTCAGCGTCGAAACTTTTGATGCCGATGTGTCCTCTCGGGAAATCCATGTCGGAGAAGAAAGCATTTGCGACTGATCCTGGATTCATCACCAGTTTAGGTGATAAGAAAACTGCTGATTTAATCTTTTTCTCGGTGCCGAGAAAGCCGTGGCTCGGTGATATGGTTAATGCGTTCACAAGAAGAGCAAAGGAAGAGATGAGCGATCTCCCTCGATAACGAGCCATTGTCTCCTGTTTTCAGATCATCATACACATGTAAAGGAATATGAATAAAATTCATAATCTTGGATAAAAACTTCAAAATTCTAGCTTCGTACGGTTTTCTTATTCGAATCAAACTATGAACAGTAGAGGAAAAACTTTGTGAACCCTAGTTTAACCAGAAAAATTTAGAGCATGCGCTTATTTAAACTCCAAAAAATTTCAAATATTTCAAGCAACCAACGACTCTAAAAGCCAGCTAAAGGAGATAAAATCCGGAGCTCATTCATTTCATATAATCCTGAAATCCAAATCAAATTTCGGATATGAACAATCTAACATAAAACCTGTGTGAGATCATAGATAAACAGAACACACATATATATTAGATTTAAAATTCGAACGTATCTACTACGTAACTGTCATCCGTAACCTCTGTTTCTACTTTCTAATTTGGATTCTGGTTTTTGGATTTTAGTTTTTGATTTTAGATTTTGGTTTTTGATTTTGATTTTGCATGTAAATTTAATTCTTGTTTTTTAAAATGAAAAATGCATGAAAAAAATCTGTCGTTGGTAGTATTTAGGAAAAAACCAAAAAAATAGGGATTTTGGTTTACAAAATGGAAGAAACTGTAAAAAATTAGTTTCCCTAAAAAATAGGGAATCTATTTCACCAAAATCTTCGACTGGATAAAAAATGGTTTTTTTTCAAAAGCAAAAACCAAAATCTAAAGTAAAATAAAAAAGCAGAAAGACCTACGTGTGTACAGGAACCGGATAACGGAAATTCCCAGAAAACCGATGCTTTTCCCGCTCCTTTGAAAGCGTGTTGAAACTCTCGTCGATGTAACGGAGAAAAAACAGTCTCTCACGTAGATGTATTGTATGAAAATAATTCGAGAGTTATCTGTATTTATTTATCTTGTGAAAATACGTAACCCCCTGCTTACCACCACTTCAAAAACATCATCTTCCACGTTGTATTTATTACAGGGGGATTCATTAAAGGTTTTAGGCTAATTTGTGGTTTCTATACAAGTTGAGGGTCCCAACTATTAAATTTAAATGTTTAGACTTTAGAGCATCTCCATCCGTCGGTAGATTTAATCATTTAAAGAAGGTTTTAAAGAAAATAACTGATTTAGAAAAAGAGTTAATCAAACAAAATACTAAAGTTGAGTCTTAGCTTATCTCTTTCTTTTAAATTAAAAACCGAACTCGTGTTGAAACATTGTAAATTTGAAGTTTGACAAAAGAAAAACGCTCCTTTCTCTCTCTCTCTCTCTCTCCAGTAAACGAAACAAGGCAACTGATTGGATTCCGTTGATCGGACTCTGTCTGGCCTCGGATTGGAAAAGATGGTTCTTTTGTCGCTCGGTCTTCTTTTTTATTTTATTTTTGAATAAAATGTTAAATTATATTCAAAAGAAAAATATCCTTTTTACAATGCTTGGTTCAGAGTTTTTCTAATAGATAATCGAAGACAAAAAAAATTAGAAAAAAAACAAGACTTTTGGTCGCTGGGTCTTCACCGATACGACCAAGGCAAATTGCCTTGTTCCCGATTCGATTTCTCCAAGACCTTGCTTTTGCTTAATGGTGAGAAGCTAACCCGAACGGTCTCTCTCCCGAATGGTTTCTCTGTGGGATTGTGTTTCAAAGATCCCAATCCTTCTTAGAGGTTACTCCTTTATCCTGTGTGTTTAGCTACAAATTCCCAAACTTAAAGTTAATTATGTACCCTCAAACCAAATGTGTAACCTTTCTTGTTTTCTTCTCAGTTCGAATTCAGATTAGTTGAAATTAAAATAGACAATGGAACACCGACAAATTTGGACGTGGAGTAGTTCATATTGTTATGGAGATTAAATTTGCAAGTAATAAAAGACTTTGGGACCAAGACAACGAATAGAAAAGCATTGCTTATAGAGTGTATTTCATTGTTTGACAAAGCAAACTTGCACACGTAACCGTTACACAAAATCACATAGCAAGAGGACCACAACATTCATTTATTGGTAATAAAAGAAGAAGCGAAAATAGCTTGCAGTTGCCGACATAGTTTTACTCTTAAATGCCAAGTGATTGGTAGCCATCCTCCCGGTTCTGTCTCCGGTATACGACGGCGGCTGTTAGAACCACAATCGCGACCACCATCGTCACCGCAAGAAAGGCTAAAAAGCTCTCGCTTTTCGTCTGTGCCTGCAAATGAAGTGAACCAATATTAACGTCAGTAAAGTAAACCACATGGCAATTTTTTCCAAAAACCGTATATGTATGTATTGAAACCGGTTTGACCTTAACCGAGATCTGGTACTGGGTAGTTACCTGAAAAAGTGCAGGCAAAGAAATCTCCGGTTCAGGCAGCTGCTGAGCAACGAAGATGTAAAAGCGTCCCATAACTCCGGTATGACCAACGGCATTACTGTAGTTGAATTCCAAAGTCAGAGTCTCTCCATAGCTAACTTTCACTGGTTCTTGAGGATAACAAGTCGTCATTCCAACAATGTAACCAGCTTCATTTCCCGGTTCGACTCCATTGCCATACTTTGGCCTCGAAGTGCAGATTCCCTCACCGCCCTGATCATCCACAACACAAAAGTGTCTCAGTTTCCGTAAAAAGATTTGCATTAGCTTCATAATCCGTCTTAATTAATTACCTCTCGGGACAGAGAAGCGCCGACACCACCAGAGTGCTGGTGAGCTCCGCCGTAGACAATATATCCATTAAACGGCATCATTAAGCTCTTCTTCTTGACATCAACGCATCCATCGCCACTGGCTTTGCACGGTTCCACATCGTATTCCACCTGAAGAATCATAAGACCAGTCCACAGAAGATTTTTTAAAAGAGTGAGATCGAGAAGTAACGGCACTAGCACTAACAAGAGATGCGAAAGTTTTTAACTCACAAGGCAATCATGTTCTGGGATATCTCCTGTTGATCCCTCTTTTCTTTCCCAAGTATCCGTAACATCGAGAGCATAAACCTTAACGGGTATAACCGAGCTGTCCCAATCAAACCATCTCACGGTATACTTAAGAAACAGACTTCTTGTTTTCTCCCCATTATCAAATCCGTGTTTCACAGGGCACTGAGTCTTGTCGTAGCAGCAGTATAAACCTCCTTTATATCCGGGCTTCAAAGCTCGACCGTACTCACCAGTGGTCATATTGTAGAGATCACACCTGCACTCGGTGCATCCTGATTTATCCACAACGCCCCTCGTGTCTATGGCGTGGATGTTTAGAAGCCATTTGAGTTCGTACCCATCAGGTCTTTCCTCGGGGCTGTCGAATTCGATTGCGTAAGGATCAGGCACGTACGTCGAGGTCTTTCTGGTCTCTGATCCTTTTCCAAACATTGGCCTGACGACGTCGTTGCAGAGCCCTGCGTTGTTCACGAAAACGTAGTCGGATCCCGAACCAAGAACAAGATTCCTGTCGGGATCTTGCTTGAAACCTTTACGCGCGTAGTACGGCATGACACCCCAATGGTGAATATACGTCTCGTGTAGAGGCACGGAGTTTCCGGCTTCGTCGACTACTTCAGCGTCGAAGCTTTTGACGGCGATGTGTCCTCTCGGGAAATCCATGTCGTAGAAGTAAGAATTTGCGACTGACCCTGGATTCATCTCCAGTTTTGGTGATAAGAAAGCTGCTGATTTGATCTTTTTCTCGGTGCCGAGAAAGCCGTGGCTCGGTGATATGGTTAATGCGATCACAAGAAGAGCAAAGGAAGAAGAGATCAGCGATGTCCCAAGATGACGAGCCATTATCTCCTGTAAAGGAATGTGATTCACGAACCGGATAGCGAAAATTCCCAGAAAACCGGTGATTTTCCCGCTCCTTTAAACGTGTTTTAAAGCTCTCGTCGATGTATCGGAGAAAAAAACAGTCTCTTGTATGAAGTGCACGCGAGGAAGAAACAACTCGAGAGTTATCTCTATTTATCCTAAGAAAGTACTGTAGTTTAGAAGCATTTTTCACGTGACAAGTTTATTACAGCTGGTCCTGGATTCATTAAATGTGTTAGGCTAATTTGTGGTTTCTATAGAAGTTGAGGGTCCCAACTATTAAATGTTTAGCTCTGACGGTCCCACTGACGGCTAACAAAAAAAAGAAATTCGATTTCCTACGGGCAGGACTACGAGAAACGGTACACCCCAACACGACGAGAGCGATAGAGGAAGAAGCCGCGGGAGAGAAGGGAGAAGAGGATCGCAAAATATCTGCCAAAAACTTCCCTGGAGACTTTGTCCATTATTGAGCGATGTTAATCTCTGGTTTATCCATTAGGCTGGAATGTACACAATGCATTCATTGAAGTGACTCTTCGATTTAGCAACAAGGTATGTATCAGTGCGGAGATTAAAGTAAGCAGGTGATAATGAAAACGCATTGTGGTACCAAAAGTTTGCTAAATTAACGCAAAAAAACCCTATTGTATTCTTATACGATAACATGCATTCATTGAAAGATAAAAAGCTTGTGCTACTTCCAAGTTTTTTCAGCTAGTTTCTTAAGTGCTTGTATCATTGGTGTCAAAACCGTCAATGCTTATTGGTGTTGCACTGCTTTTAGCTACCAATTAAATTATAAATGTTCTTATTTTGTCGTCAAGGAAGAAGAAATCAGCGATGTCCCAAGATAACGAGCCATTATCTCCTGTTTTCAGATCATCATACACATGTAAAGGGAAATTCATAATCTTGGATAAAACTTCAAATATTTTAGCTTTGTATGATTTTCTGATTCGAATCAAACTATGAATTGAACAGTAGGTAAAAAACTACTTGAACCCTAATTTAACCAGAAAATTTTAGAGCATGTGCTTATTTGAACTCCAAAAATTCCAAGCAACCAACGACTCTAAAAGACAGCTAAAAATCGGAAGCTCATTGAATTCATATAATACTGAAATCCAAATCAAATTTCGAATACGAACAATCTAACATAACATCTGTTTCAGATCATAGATAAACAGAAACACGGATATAATATGGATGGCTTTAAAAAAACATTCTCTTCATTAGATGTCTTGTGAGAAGTGCACACGAGGAATAAAACAATTCGAGAGTTATCTCTATTTATCCCCCATAGGACCACCAGTTCAAAAACCGGTTAGAGTCTGAAACATTTTCCACATTACAAGTTTATTACAGCTGGAGCTGGTGGATTCATTAAAGGTTTTAGGCTAATTTGTGGTTTCCATACAAGTTGGAGGTCCCAACTATTAAATTTTAGAATTGTCCATTATAAATTCCAGGACCGCTTCCACGTACACACGTAAAACAGTAAAACACCAGTCACATGACGCCGGTATGCTTTGGTTGATCACAACAACGGATCAATTTAAACGGTCTGGCTGCTTTGAACCAGAACAGTGGATTCAATTGAACCCGGTCTGTTGGTTCGATACAGACTTTGGTTTATTTATTTATATACTGTATATGTTAGGCCAGTAGAATTCGGGAACTTTTGCTCTAGCGATTACAGATTCTAGATGGTATTTCTGGATTTTAAATATAGTGAAATTAAAATAGACAATGAAACACCTCACAAATCATATGTTCCCTAAACACCTCACAAATCATATGTTCCCTAAATAATATTTGATGTTTTATAGTTTTCACATGAATGAATTAAGAAACAACTAATGTTTCGTTATTAGTGTATTACTTTTTTTTTTTAAATAACTACTAGCCAATAAAAATCATAGAATTATCTTGAAATTTACATTTTTGTTACATTAATTAACCAAAAGTGCATTTAATAGTCTAAAACATCAAGTAATAAATAACAAGTAAAAAAAGTTAAAACATCAAGTAATAATGAACTGAGGGAGTATATTGGTATAAAGATTAAATTTATGTAATAATGCAACTATGCAAGTAATAAAAGATTTTGGGACCAAGACAGCGAATATGAAAACATAGCTTATACTATATATTTCATTATTTGACAAAGCAAACTTGCACACGTAACTGTTACACAAATATAACATAGGAAGAGGACAATTATTCCTTTTTTTGTGGTAATAAAAGAAGAAGAGAGCAAACCTAGCTTGCAGTTGCAGTTTTACTCTTTTAAGTGCTAAGTGATTGGTAATGGTAGCCATCTTCCCGGTTCTGCCTCCGGTATACCACAGCGGCTTTTACCTGGAAAAGTGCAGGCAATGAGATCTCCGGTTCATGCAGCTGCTGAGCAACGAGTAAGTGAAAGATTCCCATAACTCCGGTATGACCAACGGCGTTACTGTAGTTAGACTCAAAAGTCAGAGTCTCTCCATAGCTTACTTTCACCGGTTCTTGAGGATAACAAGACGAAATTCCAACAATGTAACCAGCTTCATTTCCAGGTTCAACTCCATTGCCATACTCTGGCATCGAAGTGAAAATTCCCTCACCGTCCTGATCATCCATGCACAACACAAATGGTCTCAGTTTCCGTAGAATTTTTTTGCTTTAATTAGCTTCATAATCAGTCTTAATTAATTACCTCTCGGTATAGAGCACCGCCGAGACCACCAGCGTGCTGGTGAACTACGCCGAAGACAACATACCCGTCAAACGGCATCATGAAGCTCTTCTTCTTGACATCAACGCAGCCATCGCCATTGGTTTTGCACGGTTTCACATTGTATTCCACCTGAAAAAAATCACAAGACCACGGAAAGATAATTTTTTAAAAGAGTGAGATCGACAAGTAACAAGAGATATGAAAGTTTTTAACTCACAGGGCAATCATGTTCATGGATATCTCCTGTTGATCCCTCTTTTCTTTCCCAAGTATCCGTAATATCGAGAGAATACACCTTAACGGGTACAACCGAGCTGTCCCAATCAACCCATCCCACGGTATACTTAAGATAGAGACTTCTTGTTTTATCCCCATTGTCAAAACCGTTTCTCACACGACACTGAGTCTTATGGTAGCAGCAGTTTAAACCCCCTTGGTAATCAGGCTTTATTGTTCGACCATACTCATCAATGGTCACATTATACAGATCACACCTGCACTCGGTGCATCCTGATTTATCCACAACGCCCCTCGTGTCTATGGCGTGGATGTTTAGAAGCCATTTGAGTTCGTACCCATCAGGTCTTTCCTCGGGGTTGTCGAATTCGATTGCGTAAGGATCAGGAGCGTACGTCGAGGTCTTTCTGGTCTCTGATCCTTTTCCAAAGAATGGCCTGACCGCGGTATTGCAGAGCCCTGCGTTGTTCACAATAATGATATTGGATCTCGAACCAAGAACAAGATTCCTATCGGGATCTTGCTTCGAACCAACAACAAGGTTCCTAGGCATGTCTCTCGGCGAAAGCTTGAAACCTTTACGCTGGTAGTACGGTACGACAGCCCAATGGTGAAGATAGGTCTCGTGTAGAGGGACGGAGTTTCCTGATTCGTCGACTACTTCAGCGTCGAAACTTTTGACGCCGATGTGTCCTCTCGGGAAATCCATGTCGTAGAAGAAAGAATTTATGACTGATCCTGGATTCATCTCCAGTTTTTGTGATAAGAAAACTGCTGATTTGACCTTTTTCTCGGTGCCGAGAAAGCCGTGGCTCGGTGATATGGTGGTTAATGCCATCACAAGAAGAACTAAAGATGTCCCAAGATAACGAGCCATTATCACCTGTTTTCAGATCATCATCATACACATGTAAAGGAATTCTAGTGATTCACCGAATAAAATTCACAATCTTGGATAAAACTTCAAAATTCTAGCTTTGTATGATTTTCTGATTCTACTTGAACCCTAATTAACCAGTAAAAATTAGAGCATTGTGCTTATTTAAACTCCAAAAAAGTTCAAATAATTTCAAGCAACCAACGACTCTAAAAGCCAGCTAGAGGAGATCAAATCCGGAGCTCATTCATTTCATATAATAATCCTGAAATCCAAATCAAATATCGGATATGAACACTCTAACATAAAACTTGTTTGAGATCATAATTAATTCATAGATAAACACAACACACGGATATAATATGGATGGCTTTATAATCCCAACGTATCTACTACGTAACTGTCTTCCGTAACATCTGTTTCTACTTTCTAATTTAGTATTCGAAGACACAGAATTTGGTAAGATAAAATAAAAAGCAGAGAGACTTACGTGTGTACACGAACCGGAAAACGGAAATTACCAGAAAACCAATGATAAGCGTGTTAAACCTTTCGTCGATGCAACGGAGAAAGAATAGATGTATTGTTTGAAGTGCACACGAGGAGCAGATCATTCGAGAGGTATCTATTTATCCTATGAAAATACGTATGCCTAGTTCAAAAACAACATTTTCCACGTTGCAAGTTTATTATTACGCTGGATTCATTTAAGGTTTTGGGCTAATTTGTGGTTCCTATAGAAGTTGAGGGTCCCAACTATTAAATAATGTTTAGCTCTGACGGTCCCAACCGACGGCTAACAACCGACGGTCACCACAAGCGCCACCACCATCATCACAGCGGCTTTTGATGCCGATGTGTCCTCTCGGGAAATCGATGTCGTCGATGAGGACAGAATTTGCGACTGATCCTGGATTCATCTCCAGCTTTGGTGATAAGAAAACTGCTGATTTTGATCTTTTTCTCGGTGCCGAGAAAGCGTGGCTTGGTCATATGGTTAATGCGATCACAAGAAGAGCAAAGGAAGAGATGACCGATCTCCCTCGATAACGATCCATTATCTCCTGTTTTCAGATCATCGTCATATAGTAGAGGAAAAACTACTTGAACCCTAATTTTACCAGAAATATTTAGAGCATGTGCTTATTTAAACTCCAAAAATTTCAAGCAACCAACGACTCTAAAAGCCAGCTAAAAATGGGAAGCTCATTCATTTCGTATAATCCTGAGATCCAAATCTATTTTCGAATACGAACAATCTAACATAAAATCTGTTCCAGATCATAGATAAACAGATATAATATGGATCGGATGGCTTTAAAATTTTTAACGTATCTACTACGCAACCACTGTTTCTACTTTCTAGTATAGTATTCCAAAACACAGAAAATGGTTTCGAAATAAAACAAAAATAAAAAGGAGAGGGGCTTACGTGTATACACGAACCGGATAACGGAAATAACCAGAAAACAATGATTTTTCCCGCTTGCTTTAAACGTGTGTTAAAACTCTCGTTGATGTAACGGAGAAAAAAAACAGTCTCTCTCACTTAGATGTAGTGTACATTTGTATGAAGTGCAAGCAAATAATTCGAGAGTTATCTGTATTTATACTGTGAGAGTACGTATATGCCCCCATACCACCACTAGGCACTAGTTAAAAAACCTGTATTTTTATTACAGCTGGAGCAAGTGGTTACATTAAAGGTTTTAGACTAATTTGTGGTTTCTATAGAAGTTGAAGGTCCCAGCTATTAAATTTAAATGTTTATCTCTGACGATCCCAATTATTGAAATTTAAATCTAACTAGATCCGCACGGGTCGTTATAATTTATGTTGAGTTGATTTAAGTAATTAACATAGTAATTCTGATTCTGAATATATAATTATTTCTATTTGGGCTCGGAAATTTGAAAATTATAGATGGGTCGGATTGTATAATCGAAATGGGTCTTTACCAAGCGAAAAGAAACACTGTCAACTTCAGCAATCCGACATTGTTTTATTAATTTTCAATTTTTGAACAAAAAAAAAACAAATTGGGGGGAAACAACTGTAAACGGAACCCTAGCTCTTATGTTTGATTATGTTTTAGTCGATCGTGATTCTTTAACGCTTCTTTCAATATTCGCTCACATCATTGTCGATTGTCAAATTGATATAGAAACTATGTGTCGTGAACGTAAATCTGAGAGTTTGATTTTTAGTAATGGGAATACGAATTACCTTTTTGGGAGCTCATGGAGATGTGTAATTCTTAGCCTAATTCCGTAAATTACTCTTTGATTTAGTTTCATAAATCATACATATAGAACAGTCCTGATTGATTAACTTGTTATAATTGATTAAGAGAATTGGATAGTTGATTTTTAGTAATGGGAATACGAATTGCCTTTTTGGGAGCTCATGGAGGTGTGTAATTCTTAGCCTAATTCCGTAAATTACTCTTTGATTTAGTTTCATAAATCATACATATAGAACAGTCCTGATTGATTAACTTGTTATAATTGATTAAGAGAATTGGATAGATGTTTTAGGAATAATCTTAGTATACTTGTTTTTCTGTAAAAACAAATTCCTAATCGAATTGTTTGTTTATGTGATGTGTTGTCGGGTGAGTGATGATCGAAGCCTATCCATTGACATCAGTAATCGACTTTCAACGTACGAAATAGATCCAAATCATATTAAGATAAGTTTGGAACCCTTTATCAAATCATTTTCGCTTTTAGGATATGTTTTATTTTAGGATTTTTCTATCTACAAACTATTTGAATATGTAGGATGTTTGTTTGTATCAGTTTCATAGGGTGTTTTCCAATTTATGATTAAGTTGAACAAATTCGAACAGACTTTAGATTTGTTTTAAAAAATATATACATAATCTGATAACATACTTGACATTAGAACTGTAAATGGAACCCTAGTTCTTATGTCTGATTATATCTGAGATACAATCGTGATTCTTTAACTCTTCTTTCAATATTTACTCACATCATCGTCGATTGTCGAATTGATATTGAAACTATGTGTCGTGAAGAGTTCGAATCCTTTTTTGCCCCTCTCCTTTAATAGTACATATGTTGTGACAACATATGTTTTTTTTTATCATATTTTAACTCTCAACTATTTAATATTAGCAATTATTTTTTATTAAATATTTTTCAAATATCTAAACATAAGTAGAGTATTTATCAAAGAACCCCTTTTTCTTACTTATTCATACAAACTACAAAGGAACTGTTTGTTAATTCTTTAGAGTTAGAATATTAATTCAAAATTGAAATTTTACTTTGTTTTAGTGAGTTCTTACTCTTATACACTGTTATTTATAATTTCTTTCATATGATAATTACTCTGAATAATTACCTGAGACATTATAATGTTTCCAAAACATGATAATACTTAAAAATCTATTGATGAAACATAAATTAATATCTTTTCAGTTTGATATAGTATCAAAACCTAAAATTTGTAGATCCAATTTTCTTCTTTTCTCTTCTTTTGTTAATTTGTCCATAAGACATGTTAAAGTCAAAATTATTGATCTTCTTTTGTTCTGTCTCTCTTAAAAAACTCGGATCTAAAAGAATGGTTGTTCTGACCCGTGATATTACTAATATTTGAGTTAATTAAATTTGTAAACATTAAGTTTTTAAGATTGAATATCGTTTTAACGTTTGATTAAAATGTTGTTGGAACAACATATTTTTAGCCCCCATTTATTTGAATATATTTTTTTTCAACATATATCATTACCAAAATTCAAGAAAGATATTTATACAAAAGTTTGTTTGTTCTTCGCGGAATTTGAAAACAGCTATGAAAAGTATTTAAAGCTTAAATGCACATATACATAAGTATATGGTAAGATTGTTCATTTTTTCTCCAAATTATGTTAAAAACAAAATCTAAACCTAAATAATGTGTTGATAAAGTGTGTTGATTTGTTTTGTATTTTTATTGCTAATGTAATTTTTTTGTCGATGTTGTGTAATGCAATTATTAAAAGATATTTTATTTGTGTAATTAAATTTAATAACAAAAGCCACCCGAACCGAACTGAGGCTGGTTTGAATTAAAAACCGAAATCAATTACATAGGCTGGTTTGACCCGTCGGGCTTCAGCTGCTTCTTTTCTTCTTCTCTTCACCGACAGCTGCTCTTGTTTCTCTTCTTCTTCTCTTCACCGATGCTTCTTCTTCTTCTCTTCTGCTTTGAGCCTTTGATTCTTTATCTTCTTTTTCTTCCTTCGATCCAGCCATCTCCTCCGCCTAGCCAATTCGACCCTTCTCTGCTATATACGATCCCTCGAATTTGTAGGATTTTTGCAATTTTTGGAAACAGATCTTTGAAATCGGGAAATTTCAAGGAATCTAAAGTTGGGTTGTTTAGTCCTCAGCTACATAGGTAAGGGTTTATAATTCTCTTCTTCTTCGATTCTCATTTTCTCATTTTCGATCATATACATAAAAATTGTTCTTCATAATTTCAGAAGTTCTACATAATCGTTACTCTGCAACACAAAAAAAAAACTACGCAGCTCAACAGACTTCGATTGTGCTTGATTTTTGTTGCCTCTTCTAAACCCTACCTGCTGATTTTCTTACCTCCAATTGTCTGAAACTAATCCATGGAAACAAACAGGTAAAAACAATCGAAATCTACTAAAATTAATCGATTAAAGAGAACGTTTATCAACAGTTATCGATTATAATTTATTAGAGATGCTATCAAAGTAAAAAATCTGTGCAATCGTCTCAGATTGCGTTTGTTAGGGATTCATGATTTGTGAATTTTGTGATCTTGGGTTTCTGGGTTTTTGAATTGTTCAAACTCGCTATTTGTTAGTAATTTTTTTGTTTTCATTCTCCTTTGCGGATTTCTTCTGGAATGCTCAAATTTATGTTTTTGTACAGTTTAAGATTAAGATTTGAAGCGCTTCTGTTACGTTGTTTTTACATCGGAGTGTATTCTCGTGATCTTACGTTGTTGGTACAGTTTAAGAATAAGAATTGCTGGACTTGTCAAGTTATGTTCTCATCTAGTATCGAACTAAACAGGTTCTGCTACATTTTAATATAGCAGTCTACTTGTAACTCTTTTAGCTTATTTGAACTAAACAGAACATAACTTGTGCTTCCTCAAGATCTTGACTTATTAGCTTTAGATAAGAATTAGATCATTCTTCTCATATGAACATATTGTTTGGTTAGTTACTCGTGTGATCATTTGTTTTCGGTTTGATAGATAACATCTGTAATCATGATGTTAGTCTGTATATTGCCGATCAGGCTGATGTATTTGATATTAAAGGGATATATCTGTTCATGTTAAGATCATGTGATCGTTGTTATTTTTGTTTAGTTCTTGGATCTATAAATTCTCTTCAGTAAAAACTATCAGTTATATGTTTATGGCTTTTGCAGCTTGATTTCAATGCTTTTGCAATAAATTGGTATGTTTGACAACGATCTCTTCATTTGGTAAGACATTTTGTCAAAAGTTGGGTTTAATCTCATTCATTAGTGATATACACTCCAATGGAAGAGATCGTTTGTTAGAATGCCTTAAATTATATTTCTTGTATTTGCATCAGATATGTTTCATTGTTTAAAAAAGGTAAATGTAAACTGTCTTAGGAGTCTCTGTCTTTGTCTTTTTAGAGTTGAGGACACCGTATACATTTAATATTGATATCTGTTTCTTTTTGTATTTGATGTGAAACAGGGGAGTTTGATTTTATTTTTTTATCTGCTTAATTTCAGTGATCTTGATATGTTATAATTGTGATTTTCTCACATTTTCTTTTGGCAATCTTTTTGTTGTGAGCTTTGTTTTTTTTTTTTTTTTTTTTTGCCATGTTATGAGTTTTGAGTTTTATGTTTCTAATATCTTTTGAGTTTGGTCTTCTCCAAGTTTGGTCGCAGGTTTGTGCACAGCTTTGAAATAGTCACAAAGTTATCTTGTAAACACGATGAAGATTGTTTGAACTGTCTTGATGCCCACTCAAACATGAAGTTTCCTTTCAAGACGGGTAAAGCATGTTTTCAAAAATATATTTTCACACCCTACAAAACATAACTGATTCGTTTATTAGAATTGTAAGCATGTATCACATTACGACGTTTATTTACCTTTCTTCTTCTGCTATGATATAGATGAACCACGTGTATTTTTTCAAACACGCAGTTCCAATGTTTTACATAAAATACCATCTCTGTTGTATGGAAGATCTTCACATGGATGGCCCAACTTGATTTGAAGGGCTTCACATATAAGACTTCAAGGTAATGGCTTGTTATTTAAATTAACGAAGATTTTTTTTATAAATATTAGTATATTTAGGTATGCATGGGTCAACAACGGTTTAATATTTACAAACCTTGCATCATGTTAATCATTTCAACTCAAATTATCCAGCCATGCCTCATATTTCTTCAGCTACTCTCTTTTTATCTCCTGATTCTAGTCACAGACGAACAGAAACAAAAAATAAAAAAAACATATTGTAAGTAATGTAGTTTGGAAGTATTCATATATTTTCTTATAATTTAATCTTACTTTTTGATATGCTAGAATCATCTCTAATGTCTATCCAACAGCCGTCATGTATTGCTTCCAAACATGAAGAAGCTTGCTTGGATTCGCCAATCTGAAAAGACATTAAGTATGTTAAATCAAAATGAGCCACTAACATATTGATACAGAATACAGTAAAGCTTTGCTTTTTTTTGTTTCTTTGGTAGGCAGGAAGGTCTATTTATACCGAAACAATTAGGTTAAAGATTTGCTTTTCGTGGAGAAGAATCCGGGTTGTTTCTACCGGTTGATATTTGGAAATAGCTCACTGTTTTTGCGTAGGGGATAAATTTATTAATTTTAACACAGAATTTTTTTATAGAAAGTTGATTTGTTTCGATATTAGTATTAGTTAATTAGCGAGATTTGTGGAAAGTCCATATATTTTGCTTGGAAGAGTATGCATTTAGTAGTTATTGCATTAGAAATCTTTGATTTTGAATTAGATTCCGGATTTTTTTTGCAGGTGCAGTTTATGGAATATCCGAGAAGATATCTCGTGGATCAGGGCTGGAGAAGTTATGATGCCGTTCTTTTGGGAAGATTTCGTAAGATATTGCAAGGAAATCTCGCTGGACCTGATTTGAGTCGGATTAGAAATTAATTTTGATTGGCGTCCTGGTTATTTTTTTTTGACAACAATAGCCGGTTTCTCTAGTTGGTTCGATTTAAGTTGATTTTAGTGTTAATTCCGGGTTTAGGGATGTTTGGCTACAGAGATAGACTCTTTTGTAAGGTTGAATCCTTATTTTGTGCCTCTCCTTTAATAGTATAGATTTTCTCTATGGAGCTGATGGTTACATTAAAGGAATGTTGGGCATTTATAATGACATCGATGTCGGAATCTTCCCATCTTTTCTTCAATCTTGCTCAAGATATTACTCCTCGTATTCTTTATACCATACAATTGGGAAAGTATAATATGATTCTATGAATTATTATTTGGCAGGTGATATATATTCAAAATGGTCTATAATACTATAAACTATTCACGAGGCAATGGATAGATACAAAAACAATTTTACTACATGGCAAGAAGCATGTTTCATTCAGAGCCTCCAATCGTTTACTATATAACCGATTCATTTTTGGAACAAGAATATGTTGCATGATATTATGAGTATATGTATAATTTACACAACATGATGATTGAATGCACCAATTGAAGTTAAAAGAGAAGCTACACTTTTAGAAGTCGACAAAGCCAAAAACGATAACATTCAGTTCCAGTTCCAAAACTGGAAAAGACCTCTTATTGAATTTGACTAGTGATTAGGCGCTGAATGGTTTTGTAGATAATGGTGACCGGTGCAAACCCGAGGAATTGGGCTCGAAATCGCAAGACAGCTTGCGAACCACGGATTAACGGTTGTTCTTACGGCCAGAAACGTGGATGCTGGTCTTGAAGCAAAATATTAAATATCTGCCACAGTTAATTTCCCTGGAGAGTGGAGACTTATCCATTATTGGAGGATTGTCCATTATAAATTCCAGGACCACTTCCAATGCTACCATGTCACACATAAAACACCAGTCACATCACATGACGCCGGTATGGTTTGGTTGAATCACAACAACGAATCAATTTAAACCGGTCTAGCTGCTTTGAACCAGAACAGTGGAGTCAATTTAAACCGGTCTGTTGGTTGGATACAGAACAAGTGAAGAATTACTCACTCACTACTGACCGTAGACTAGATTTATATACTCTCTCTTTTTCTAACAAGTAATTAAATTTTGCTTGGCTCGGTCGAATTCGGAGGAACTATTTGCTCTGGTGATCAGAGATTCTAGATGGCATTTTCTGGACGTTTTAGTGAAATTAAAAGAGACTATGACACATCCACAAACTGGATGTGGAGAAGTTTCATTTAGTATAGAGATTCAGTATATGAGTAATGCAGATATAAATAGATTTTGGAACCTAGACGACGAATAAAAAGAGATTTGAGTAAAGTATGATTTTGTATTTCAAACACTACTATTTGACAAAGCAAACTTCTACACCTATTTGTTACAGATATAACACGTTACAGATTTTGAGTAAGAGGACAACAACGTTTATTTTATTTTTTGGTATAATGAAGAAAGAAAAACAAAATTCACTTTGAAGAAAAATATCTAGCCGACATAGTTTTACAGTAACACATTTACTCTTTTAAGTGCTAAGCGATTGGTAGCCATCTTCCCGGTTCTGTCTCCGGTATACCACGGCGGCTATTAGAACCACAACCGCCACCACCACCACCACCGTCACTGCAAGAAATGCGAAAAAGCTCACGCTTTTCGTCTGTGCCTGCAAAGGAAGTGAAAGAAAACGTAACGCAAGTAAAGTAACCGCATGGCAACTTTTCCAAAAGCGAATATGTACTGAAATCGGTTTGACCTAAACCGAGTGGTTACCTGAAAAAGCGCAGGCAGGGAGATCTCCGGTTCAGGCAGCTGCTGAGCAACGAGGATGTAGAAGAGTCCCATAACTCCGGTATGACCAACGGCACTACTGTAGTTAAACTCCAAAGTGAGTGTCTCTCCATAGCTCACTTTCACTGGTTCTTGAGGATAACAGGTCGACATTCCAACAATGTAACCAGCTTCGTTTCCCGGTTCGACTCCATTGCCATACTTTGGCCTCGAAGTGCAAATTCCCTCACCGCCCTGATCATCCATAACACAAAAGGTCTCAGTTTCCGTAGAAAAGGTTTCAATCTTTCGTTTTGCTCATTAGTCTTAATTACCTCTCGGGACAGAGAAGCGCCGACACCACCAGAGTGTTGGTGAGCAACGCCGTAGACAACATACCCATTAAACGGCATCATTAAGCTCTTCTTCTTGACATCAACGCATCCATCGCCATTGGTTTTGCACGGTTTCACATCGTATTCCACCTAGAAAAGCGTAAGACCAGTCCACAAAAGAATTTTAAATGAGTGACATCACAAGTAACGGCACTAATTTTATAAAGAGTGATAAATGAAAGTTTGTTAACTCACATGCAATCATGTTCTTGGCTATCTCCTGTTGATCCCTCTTTTCTTTCCCAAGAATCAGTAACATCGAGAATATAAGCCTTACGGTACAACCGAGCTGTCCCAATCAACCCATCGCACGGTATACTTAAGAAACAGAGTTCTTGTTTTCTCCCCATTGTCAAATCCATTTCTGACCAGACACTGAGTCTTATCGTAGCAGCAGTATAAACCTCCTTTGTAATCAGGTTTTATTGTTCGACCGTACTCATCAATGGTCACATTGTACAGATCACACCTGCACTCGGTGCATCCTGATTTATCCACAACGCCTCTCGTGTCTATGGCGTGGATGTTTAGAAGCCATTTGAATTCGTATCCATCAGGTCTTTCCTCGGGGTTGTCGAATTCGATTGCGTAAGGATCAGGCACGTACGTCGAGGTCTTTCTGGTCTCTGATCCTAGTCCGAAGAAATGCCTGAGCGTGTTCTTGCACAGCCCTGCGTTTCTCGCAAGAACGAAGTTATCAGGTCTCGAAGAAGCGAGATTCGTTTCGGGACCTTGCTGCTTCGAGAACCCGTGGTTCCTAGGCATGTCTCGCTGGGAAAGGTTGAAGCCTTTACGCACGTAGTACGGCTCGACACCCAATGGTGAAGATAGGTCTCGTGTAGAGGGACGGAGTTTCCGGCTTCGTCGACTACTTCAGCGTCGAAGCTTTTGACGCCGATGTGTCCTCTCGGGAAATCCATGTCGAAAGAAAGATTTGCGACTGATCCAGGATTCATCTCCAGTTTCGGTGATAAGAAAACTGCTGATTTGATCTTTTTCTCGGTGCCCAGAAAGCCGTGGCTCGATGATACGGTTAATGCGATGAGAAGAAGAGCTAAGGAAGAAGAGACGAGCGATGTCCCGCGATTACGAGCCATTATCTCCTGTTATCAGATCATAAACATGTAATGGAATGTGATTTACCGAATAAATTTCATAATCATGGATAAAACTTGAACCCTAGTTTAACCAGGAAATCAAAAATAGATCATGTGAATAAACTCCAAAATTTCGAAACTAGCGCGCAACCAACGACTCTAAAAGCCAGTTTAGCTTAGATGAGAAGAATCGGAAGCTCATTTCTGAAATCCAAATCAAATTTCGAATACGAACAATCTAACATAAAAGCTGTTTCAGATCATAGATAAACAGAAGCACAGATATAGCTTTAAATTTAGAACGTAACTGTCTTCCGTAATCTCTGTTTCTAGTTTGGTATTCCAAAACCCAGAATTTGATTTCGGACAAAAAAAAAGGCAAAGAAGATTAAAAGTAAAATAAAACAGAGAGAAAGAGATTTACGTGTGTAGACCGGATAACTGAAATTCCCAGAAAAACCGATGATTTTCCCGCTCCTTTAGAATGTCTTCGATGTATCGGAGGAAAGACAGAGCCTCTTCGATGTATTGTATGAAGTGCCACGAGGAACAAAACAATTCGAGAGTTATCTCTATTTATCATCGTATGAAATACGTATGCCCACAAGTATATGCATATCTGACACGTGTAGCCAGTGACATCATCGCTCCCGTCACATACCCGGTGCGATTATCCTCTCTTTCAATGTCTTCTAAAATATAATAAAGATTGAATGGCATCCTATGTGTGAATGGTAAGAGAAACACGGAGATAATCCCAAAATAATTGAAGATTGAGGAAAAGAAAACATCTTTGATTTTGATAATCAAACAAACATATGTCATGGTCAGTGTTTTCATTAATTACGTGCTGTAGTTCAACAACCAATCGGTTTAGAGTGTGAAACCCACTCAATAAAGACTTTTTTGACGCTACAAATTGAATTTAAAAGGTTAGGCTAATTTGTGGTTTCTGTAGAAGTCGAAGGTCCAACTATTAAATTTAAGATCCGACGGCTAACAAAAAAAAAGCTAATTTGATTCTCTACGGGCAGGACTACGAGAGAAACAGTACACCACAACACGGCGAGAGCGACGGAGGAAGAAGGCGGCGATGACGAACAAGGAGAAAGCCCGGGAGAGAAGGGAGAAGAGGATGCATGAGATCTCTCTCCTTCGAACCATCCCTTACTCTGACCACCAGAGGTATGAAATCGAACCACAATATCATTCCGATTCGCTCTCCGATAAATCTCAATTTCACAAGCAATGTGCTGATTTCGATTTGTTGATCTCGAATTTCACTTGCTCACCTCCATTTCTAGGCTCTCGTGTACTGTTTCAACTATGTATACTCGTCAAATCGTTTAATGAGTCTACGAGACTGAGTGTTTGTGTTCATAATCATTGCTCTATTTCTCCTGGAACTATTGCTTGAACAGATTGAATCGGCACAGTTAGTACTAGATTAGTAGATTTTGGAGGCCTCTTATTGAATTTGACTAGTGATTAGGCGTTGAATTGGCTTTGTAGATGGTGGTCTTCTGAAAACGTAGCAGTGGTGACCGGTGCAAACCGAGGAATCGGGCTCGAAATCGCCAGACAGCTCGCGAGCCACGGATTGACGGTTGTTCTCACGGCCAGAAACGTTGATGCTGGCCTTGAAGCAGCTAAATCCTTAACTCAACAAGAAGGTCTCAAGGTTGATTTTCATCAGCTTGATGTCACTGACTCCTCTTCGATTAGAGAGTTCGGTTGCTGGATTAAGCAAACATTTGGAGGTCTTGATATCCTCGTAAGATCTCTTCACCGATTCATATAGTTCTTGAGTAGATTATATTGCATTTGTGTGATTTGTATCTTTCAGGTGAACAATGCAGGTGTCAACTACAATCTCGGCTATGATAATTCGGTTGAGTTTGCGGAGAGAGTTGTCTCCACTAATTACCAAGGAACCAAAAACATGATAAAAGCTATGATACCATTGATGAGACCTTCTCTTCAGGGAGCTCGTATTGTTAACGTTAGCTCTCGGCTAGGTAGAGTTAATGGAAGACGTAATGTAAGAAAAAAAAAATCGTTCTTTCAACTAAGTATCCTTGAGTTTTGTTAAAAGAAATTGCCATGGAAATGTCTGTGTGTGCAGAGACTTGCGAATGTAGAGTTGAGAGATGAGCTAAGCAATCCGGATTTGCTGACGGAAGAACTCATTGACCGGACTGTTTCTAAATTCATCGACCAAGTTAAAGACGGGACTTGGGAATCAGGCGGGTGGCCTCAGACATTCACCGACTATTCTTTATCTAAGCTTGCTGTGAATGCATACACGAGACTAATGGCGAAGGAACTTTCGAGGAGACGAGAGGGAGAGAAGATTTATGTTAACAGCTTTTGTCCTGGTTGGGTGAAGACTGCAATGACAGGCTACGCCGGAAATATGTCGCCTGAAGATGCAGCTGATACCGGAGTTTGGCTTAGCTTGGTTCTCTCTGAAGAGGCCGTGACCGGAAAATTCTTTGCGGAGAGACGTGAGATAAACTTCTGATTGTTGGTGAAAGTTTTTATTGTAGACGTTGGAATATATTTTGTTGCTTTCGTTTAGTGCCATTGTTTTTGGTCTAAGCTTTTCAAAAATCAATTCCGATTGGTAAAGTCGATTGTTGTGAACTTAGTTGAGCGCAAGTCTTTCACTGAGAGCTCTCATTACTATTAACGTTTAAATATAGTTAATTACGATCAAACATCAATAACCGACCTTAGCTCAGTTGGTAGAGCGGAAGACTGTAGTGGGTTATCCCAAAGAAATCTTTAGGTCGCTGGTTCGATTCCGGCAGGTCGGATATTTGATATTTTTCGAAAACAAAAGTCTCTAATGGGCTTCGTAAAAATGGGCACGTGTTCCACAAGTTTCATAGATTTTCTTTTTGCTTTTCGTTTTAGGATAAACTCATTAACTCCAAGGTGTTTTGCAAATATTTTAGTTTAGATTCCCCTCGTTAGGAAAGGTCTCTCGTCTTATAAATAGGTATCGTATCACCGACTACGACCATTATCGTCCAAGTGTTTAATTATCTTTTATATTGCTATAATATTGGAGATGGAGACAATGGAAGCGATCTTGATATCTTACTGGTTTTTCCTTGGAGTACTCCTGTATTTCTACGGATTCGTCCATCACTTTTCTTCGTATTATTTCAAGGACGAAGAAGGAGAAGACATCAAACCTGGAGATGATGACTATTGTTGCCCCATCTGTCATGAAGATGTCAGAGCTTTTTCCGACATTCTCCGTTCATCAAAGTGCGAACGTATCCGATACAGATCCTCCCAACTCAAAAAATTTACTCAATAGTTTAAACAACAGAGATCTTTTTTGTTCTTTTTCTTTTTCTCATGTATATTTTTATCGATCTACTTTTAAAATATTGGAACTTTGGAAAGTATAATTTTTTACTTCAGTTTATCGATTTAATAGTTTTTTTTTTTGATCAACCATTTAATAGTATATATATATTGAAGACCCAGATAAAACAGTATTAGAAGAATTATCTAAACATGGAGCTGGTAGATTCAGAGAATGAATATAAGGCAGGCAAACGGATATGTCTCATAAATTATGGCTGGGAGACACATGATAAAAAGTTATAAGTTATGTTATTATTTATTATAACTTACACATGATGGATGCAAATGTCAAGATATAAATTATGTTATTCACGAATGGTTTTTTATTTTTTAGGTAAATCTTAATACATAATTCATAACAAAAAATTTAAAAAAAAATCTTTGAGAGTAAAAGTTAAGGTGTACGTACCATGTACGTAAGGCTTGATTTACCTAGAAAAATGGAAAAAATAATAATAATTGAGAATAACAGATTTTATCTACCCCTTTATTTTCTCTGAATTTTGTATTCTTTTTCCGAAAACATAAATTATATAATGAGAGGGCTTCGTAATAAATGGGCCAGTGAGGCGGTAGGGAACTAAGGTATAAACTCCATAGGTATTAATTGTTTTAGGGGATAAACTCCCAAGGTATTTTGCAATTCTTTTGAATTCAAGAAGAGTTAGGAAAGGTCTCGTCCAATAAATAGGATTATAGGACTCGTTTGGTGTTGCTTAGATTCATCTTCTGCTATTACTTCTCCGACGCGTATCCTCCTCCACTCTGCTTTAATTTATTTTAGGTTGGAAGCTGGGACGTATGGAGGTGACGTCGGAAGTGTTGAAGCTTGCCGTTCTTATGATCGGCTTTCCATTGGTCATACTCCTTTGTTTGCTATGGTCCGTTATATACGAAGGTCGTGACCTAGCTCTACAATACGAGCAGATGAAATTATCTTCACATGCCAGAAACTGCATATGCAGCCGCAGCGGCAACCGCTGTCCAGCATATCTTGAGGATCTCACGGCACTCGAGAAAACACTTGATAAGTCCAAGTGCAAGCATATTAGATCTATCTTTGCTGATTTGAAGCATGAGCCATAGATTTTTTATATACACTCATGTATTTACTAAATAATTTCTTTCATACTTTGCTCATTGTTTTTCTTTAGTCTTTCGTCTTGTATTTTTTTTTATTAACTACATTCGCGAGAATAAAAAAGAGGAAATTTGGATCAATATTACCTAAATTAGTCATATTTTGAAAATTAACCCCTTTTTTAAAGTGTTAAAAAACTAATCATTTTAAAATTCAAAATTACTAAAATACCCTCAGTTTTTTTTTAATATTAAAATTCTTATAATTATCTTATTAAAAATTATTTAAATTGTAAAAAAAAATCTGTTATTTTAAAGATAATTCTAAAAAATTATCTTTATTTTATATCACAACAAAATAGAAGAAAAAAATCTACAGCTTGGGATATTCTCATAAAATCTGTATAAAATCTACAACAAGAAAACAAAAAAGATATTTAGAAGATCTTATATGAAATCTAATATCTTATAAATAAATATAGAATGTGAGTTGACTTTAACACATTCCATCATTTTATTTTTAAGAGTGAAGATGAGTTTTTCTTTGTTTTAATATCGTGCAGAATTTTGGTTTTTTATAAGAGTTTGATTCATATTTATGATAAATATGAATATATTCTTAAAATAACATGTGTATATATAAGTTTAAATATTTATTAAAAAAATCTAAATTATTTTTCGAAAATATCTCATATATATCTAAATTCAATATATATCTTTGAATATCTTTTCTATATCTTAATTAAATTAAATAAGATTTTTTTCTTCTGTTTATTAATATTATAAAATGATAATGGTTTTATTATCTTTTCACTTAGTAAAGGTTAATTTTCAAAACTTTTAAAATCAGAGTTAGTTTTCAAATTATGAAATATTTGAAAAAAAAATATTTTAGTAATATTAAACCAACTCACCCATGTAAAAAAAAAAATATATATATATATATATATAAAACGAGTAACAGAAATATTTAAAGTTTCAAAATATGAAAATTTATATTTATATCTATATTTTTAGATATGAGGAATTTCGATATCTATATTTATATTTTACAGTAAGGGTGAGTTGGTTAATATTACTAAAAAATTTCATAATTTGAAAACTAACCCTGGTTTTTAAAATTTTGAAAACTAACTTTTTTAATAAGTGAAAAGACAATAAAACCATTATCATTTTTCTATTAATAATAAAAAAAATTTTTTAAAATTAAGATATATAGATATATATATATATATTAAATTTATATATATATAAAATATTTACGAAAATAATTTAGATATTTTTTAATAAATATTTAAAATACACATGTTATTTTGAAAATATATTCATATTTATCAAACTCTATAAATAATACACATAAATATCATTTTAAACAAAGAAAAACTCACACTTCATTCTTAAAAAAATGATGGAATGTGTTAAAGTTAACCATGTTCTATATTTATGAGATGTTAAATTTCAAATAAGATATTCTAAATATCTTATTTTTTGTTGTAATTTTATTCAGATTTTAAAGGAATATCAATGCTAAGTTTTTTTTTTTTTTTATATAAAATAAAAATAATTGTTTATAATTATCTTTATAATAACAATTTTTTTTTTACAATTTAAATAATTTTTAAATAAGATAAACGAATTTTAAAACAATTTTAATATCTAAAAATTAAGGTATTTTAGTAATTTTGAATATTAGAAAGATTAGTTTTCCAACATTTTAAAAAGGTGTTAGTTTTCAAAATATGATTAATTTATGTATTATTGGTCCAAATTTCCTCTAAATCTAATGACAAAATTCAATCGTGTAAATTTTTTAAACCTAAAAACAACTTTACATTCAAACATAAAATGTAAAATATCCATTACATTAACTGTCATAAAAAATAATATCGACATATCATATTGCTACATAGTCACACAGAGAGATAAACAAACATATGTATAAATAATATTATTCTTCTAATTTCATACATTTTCCGATTTAATAGTTTCTGTTGTAGAAAAGAAATACGTTTTATTATTATCGTTTCTTTCTTAGGATCTTAGGAATTAATAAACTAAAACATTCTATTTATTTATATTATATATATACATGTTATGATTCAAATTAACAATGACGCATTATATTTAAAAATCTTATATCAATGTTAGGGTCAGTTTTATTTAATAAGATTGCACTCCAAGAATGTGAAGATAATATGAGTTGCATAATGATATATCTTAATCCTTAAAAACAAGGGCAATCCTTTTTTCTGGTTTAAAGGGTTATCATATTTAAATAATTTTGGGCCCAAACTAATTTGAGCCTTTTGATTTTACATTCACAAGACAAAACATAAAATAACTAAAATCCAGAAGGGGAAAACAACAAAAGGAGCCCAATTGATAAACCCCTAATGGGCCCCGTTTAAAGGTGGCCCAGAAACATCTTGGCCCAAAGACTAGCCCGAATCTAAAAAAGAGTTGCAGGTTTTTCAAGTTTTTCCTAGCTACACAAATAAATCGGAGGAGAAAGTTCTCCTGAGAAGTGAGAAGTATGCCATTCCTCGACATCCAGAATTCTCTGCAGCAGAAGTTAAAAACTAAGTCCTTGTATTTGTACAGCAAAAAGAAACCGTACCAAACTTTTCCAAATTTTATAGTCTTGGTGCTTACCAGATAGTCTTAGTTATCATATTCAGTTCCACTTCACTCAGCATTCCCTCTTGAAAAAACAGCTGTTTAAAATGTTTAAGGCAAATACAAAACATTAAAAAGGAATAGTGCATACGACTGATAGCAATTTGACGAAATAATGCTCTTTTATACAAGAGACAGAAAGAATACCTCATCCCAGCTTCTTTCTCTCAAGCTTCTGCGGACATTTTCCTGGTCAGTAACAAAACCACTGATAGTGTATCGCATTTCTTCATCTTTGCTTGCATGTATAAACTTAAGCTCGGCCAGAGACTCATCATGAATCTTCTGTAAGGCATCAACCTGCAGGGGATCATATCTTAAACATGATATATTCCTCCAATTTCAACGAATTTCACCTTAACAAGAGTAGAAAAGGTAGAGACATTGGCCCGCTCAGAGTGGGTAACTTGGCTTTTCAATGAAGCTAACTGGCACTCTATTTTTACGAGATTTGCAATTCATGGATGGTACTTATAAATCTTCATTTGTTCTTTTAGAACACGGCTTAAGCATTCTGAACAAATTACCTCGCATAGTAACCAGTCCTCAGGGTCATTTCCGACGTCATAAAACAATCCCGTTAAAGCAAGTTTAGTATTCCTCTTCCTATTGCCTTTTCTTCCTGCCACAGTCAAACACAAACAAGAGATCAGCGTGTTTCACTTAAGATAGGCTGACAGTAGTCGCTGGCACAAATCTTTGTTATCAATACGGAGGATAACAATTGCTGAGGCATCAAAAAGCGGTTGCAAGTTGATTGGCACTTGAGAGAGTAAACTAGGGAGTATGGGGTCACTAAGATCTGCTGAACAGTAGCTATAGAATTCTGTTTCCTAGTTCACTACCAAAGGAAGTACAGGGGAACATGATGAAACATGTTCACAGCTTAACCCCAAGACCACAGCTTTTATCTACCAAATACAGGCAGAAGTTTGACTGAATTGACTAGAAAGTCAGTTGAGATGTCGTATGAAAGCAAGTTAAACGGTAGCACACAAGCATTCACGATGAGCATCAAAGCTAGTGCAGAAGCAGAGATGAAGCAAATGCTGATTAGGGTAACTTACAAGAGATCATTCAATGGACGCAGGCTCCAAAGTCACGAGGCACAACAAAGAAGTGGTCAGCTCCTTGTGTGCGATTCCAGTATGGCACCTTGTCATCTAAAGGGCAGAGGAAGCCCATTTGGAGTGAGATCACAAGTGGACGTACTGGACAAAAGATATCGTTGCATACAGATCCACGGGATGATCTTCCAACACATCACCGGCACTACCTAAACATGAGAACAAAACAACGAGACACGCACTTAAAAGGTTCGCATTTCCCATGAACATCAAAACACACACTGATGCCTCAAGCAAGGGCTAACGGATTGATAAATAAGATCATCTGTAAATGACCTAAACGAGAATGCAAATCAAAGTACAAGCTCAAAAAACAAGATAATGGATCGGCTAATTGAGGCGTGAATAGTGTTTTTAGTTGGCCACCAACAATTCACAAATCAATAGGCATCCTCATTTACATTTTCCCCAGAATCAATTAGAATCCAGGGCAGTGAGTAGAAATGAAAATCGATTAACTAGTCTTCCTTCGATTCTCAGACTAACTGATAATTTGCACACAAACTCACGACGAATCATTAAGCTGCTTAATCCTAGTGGAAAGGGGAAAACAATTAACATTCTCTGCATGAATAGATACAACTCACCTGAAATTCGCTCTGTGGGTTGACTCCGAGTCAGACGGAAAGCAGAAATCGTCGAGACGGTGAGGAAAATGAATCTCGAAAAATTTCAATTCAATCTCTCAGCGAATTTTCTCGATTACACTTAATTTCATAACTAATTAACCCAATCTTAAATCCCAGAGAGTTTGTCGAGAATGGGTCTTGAAAATGAAGCGAATTTCATTTGAAGATGCAAAGAAAGAGAAATATTCGGTGGTGAAAGGTAAAATATTCACATAGTAAAGAGAAGAGTGACAAAGTAAAGAAACGCAAGAAGACGACGTCTCTTTGTTTTATTAAATTAATAATTTACAGTTGCAAAAAAAACCAAGAAAAGCCATAATCTCACGAACAAAGAAAAAGAAAATCCATAATCTATTCTAGCCACGACCCATTTTTCCTCTTCAACTCGCGAGTGCAACAAGAATTGCTGTGACAGCTAAAATCACGAAGAACAACGCAAGACTATTAATCATTTTCTTTTGCTCCCATCTGCCGATAGCTTGCAGGAACAAAAAGACCGGAAAGGCACAAGCTACGATCGCAAGCAGTTGTAGATTACACAATCCCGCCACAAAACCAAAGATTCCACCGCAGACGAAAAGAATCAGAGCTGCTACAGCTTCCTCCAAGCACTCCTTCCACGTCCCTCTGTCAAAAGCTTTTTGCAGAAAGGCTTGTAAGGAGCGAGAGATCATTGCGGAGATGAAAGATTTAATTTTGTCGGTAATTGATGTCGTCGGCTGAAACAAGACTGCAGCAGCTCCGGCTATGATGGCTCTCACAACTTTTTTATTGAGACTCTGATCGATATCAGACATGACGAGAGATGACTCGATATCAGACATGACGAGAGATGACGAGAGAGTGAGCAAGGAGAGGAAGGAGAGAATTTGAAACTGAGATTATGAGTTTCTGAGAAACTTGGGTTTGAAGCAACCTGTATTATACTTGCAACGTACTGAAATCTTGGGCTCAGGTAATATAATGTAAAAAAAAATATATTATGAAGCATTTTTCCATAACATAACAAAACAAAGAGGGTCCTGATTCTACAAAATACAGACACAAAAGAGAAAAAAAAAACAACCAACCAATAGCATCAATTCTATCAAATCCCACTTCTCTTCTATCATATTTGTCCTCACCAAGGTTTCAGATCAGCGACCGGTCCTGCCGTCCAGTTCAACAGCTTCTCACCAGGTCTCAGATACACATTCCTCTCATGTGGCAGCTTACGAGCCAACCCATTCAACACTTGATGAAACGCATCCCCTGGTTGAGCCGGTTGCGGAAACAGCATCGCCTGTTTCATCGACGGGTTTGCCAACAACCTCTGTTTCCTCAGTATAACCTCCGGTGGGATCGATGTGAGTATAGTGTCCAGGTAAGGAACATCCTTCTCATCCACAAACACACCAATATCTTCCCAAGGGATCGCATCCGCAAAAGGTAGCACGATGTCGTCTGCTATGATCACAGGGATGCAACCGAAGATCACGGCTTCAACCAGTCTTGGACTCCATGGAGCCCATCCAAGTGGACATAAGCAGAAGATTGCTCTCTGCATGTCCTCGTAATATGTTGTTGGGTGCTCTGTGGAGATGTCGAACAATGGATTGTCCTTGAAGTTTTCCCATACAGCTGCTCTTGCGCCCCTGTGCCCATTTTGACAAACAGAATCATTTATATCACGGATGCTTTCAAGTCTATGAATCTTCATTTGTAACACGGCTTAGCATTTATGCACTAATTACCTCGCATAGTAACCACCCTCAGGGTCATTTCCCACGTCGTAAAACAATCCTCTGAAATAAACGAAGATGGACCGAGGAGTTTTCTCGGGAATCAAGTGTGACTGCATCTTCTGCGGTGGAGCATACGGAGGCACAGTGATCGAACCCTCTTTTAAGCAAACATGATTCCTCTGTCCAAATGTCTGCACCAGTGTAGCACGTTGAAGCAGGGTTAGTATTCCTCTTCCTATTGCCTTCTCTTCCTGCCACAGTCAAACACAAACAAGAGATCAGCGTGTATCACTTACGATAGGCTAACAGTAGCCGCTGGCACAAATTTCTACGGCATCAAAAAGGGATTGCAAGTCGATTACCATTTGAGAATGTAAACTACTGACTATGAGGGAACTAAGATCCTCACAACACTAGCAAGTGACTATGAGGGCACTAAGATCTGCTGACACTAGCTATAGAATTCTGGTTCCTAGTTCAGTATCAAAGGAAGTACATGGTAAAATGATGAAACATGCTCACAACTCAACCCCAAGGCCACAGCATTTATGATATATCTCCCAATTGCAAACAACAGAAATTTAACTAAAATGACTAGAAAGTCAGTTAATATGTTGTATGAAACAAGATTTCTTCTCAGCTTCCAGTACTAGAGAAAGTTTAGAGAGCAAGTTCAACAGTAGCACACACACAATCATTCTCGATGAGCATCAACGTCAGTGCAGCAGCATAGATGAAGCAAGGGCTTATTAGGGTAAGTGGCTAACATAACAAGAGATCATTCAAGAGAAGATTATTTGGCTTACTTGATAATGGAAGCAGGCTCCAAAGTCATGAGGCACAACAAAGAAGTGGTCAGCTCCCTCTGTGCGATTCCAGTACGGCCAGTTGGAAGCAATGAGCTGAATGGCACTTCTCATCATTCTCGGAGATTTAAAGGGCAGAGGAAGCCCGTTTGGAGTGAGATCACAAGTGGTGTACACAGGGACGTAGAACCAATCAGCTTCCTCCGGGTTAAGTGTACGAACTGGACTTGACAAGAGAAACCGCTGCATATAGATCTCCGCTGCAAACATGTGGGTGAGACATCTTGGATCCTTTTGAAGTATCTTCTTGTTGTATTTGCTTGGAAGCTCGTAAACAAAGACTTTCAGTCTTCCCACGGGATCATCTTCCAACACATCACCAGCACTGCCTAAACATCAGAGAGAATGCAAAATTGAAGTTTAAGATCAAAATGACAGATAGTGAATCGGCTAACTGAGGCATGACTATTGTTGGCCATCAACAATTTACAAATCAATATGCATCCTGATTTACATTATTCCCAGATTCAATTAGACCCAAAAAAAAACCTAGTCTTCATTCGATTTGCAGACTAAGTGATGAACACACAGCTCAATACTGCTTAATCCAAGTAAAAATAGGGGAAACACAATCATTCATTAAATTCCGAGATTAACAAGCATCTCTGCATGAATAGATAGAGCTCACCTGAAATTCGTTCGGTTGGTTGACTTCGACTCAGACGGAAAGCAGAAATCGTCGAGACGGTAAGGTTACAAACGAGGAGGATCAAAATCCAGCTCGAACACTTCATTTCCATCTCTTCGTCCTAATTTGCTTCCCGCAATGATCTAAATCCCAGATTATTGGAAGGAGACTTGGGTATATAGAAGAAGAAGAAGAAGAAGAAAGCAGTTGAAATGTCAGAAGACGAAGTTGCTAAAATAGAAATTGCCGAGATTGTGACTTTGAAACTGGAATTCGGTACCGATTCCTAGATCACGCCCAGAATTGAGAGCGAGAGAACATCGAAATCGTTTGAAGATGCGAAGAGAGGAGGAGGAAAGTCGAGCAAGATTCGCGCGACGCTTATTTAATGCGATTTCATCTTTCGCAAAGCAAAATGACAGAGAAGTCGCTGGGGGTGATGAGCAGTCAACGTCAGACATATTTTTTAGTAATTTGTTCAGAATAAAACAAAATTAAATTAATTGATTAGTTAATGGACTGCCCGAGCTTTAGGCCCATTTCTAGTTTTCGTGGCCCTTGGCAATATTTTTGTCCTCTTAACGAATTAACTTTTCACTAACGTGAGCGACACTCGCACACAAAATTTGATAACTATATATTCCTTCAAGTCTTCTAAAACCTCATCTAAACTACATTAGATTCCACCAAATAGAAAGAAATTGTTACTCTAACAAGATAAAAAGATTAGAGTAAGAAAATCTGATTCCACTCAATTTATTATTCATTCATCATTATTTATTTCATTCTTCTTATTTATCTAAAATAACCACCATTTCCACCTCCTGAGTAGTCTGTTGTCCATTTGAAGACATTCTAGTAAAGAACATTTCATGAAACTACAAAATCTGCGAAAAAATGGGCTTGAAGAACATATTCTCCTCTTCATTTCCCAAAAGACACATTAAGATTTCTGAGAGCGGGACAAAGACCACAAAGAGGTGTCAATGAACATAAGTTTACCTTTAATCTATTTTGTGTTCTTGATTTTCCGCATTCAATATAGTCTTTTATGATATGAAATTAATACTGAGGAATAGGGTAGTAATAGTCTATCATAAATGCATTATTCAATCTTTTCAGGATTCCTTATAACTCCAACAGTTAAATAACAGTGGTAACAACAGTATTAAAGTCGCAAGTCGAATGATGAACATGATGATATATCATAATATAAAGTATAGTGTATGTAGTAATGCTACAAATTAATAAATGAAAGTAAAAGAATTGGAAATGAGAGAAGAATGGCATGGATCGGTAGGAAATACCATTCCGGCACAAAGGACAAAGAAAAGGTAAGAAGAAACTGAGGGACTGATAAGGAGAGAGGAGGATAGGGGTGTGAGAGAGAGACAGTCAAATAAAACAGACTGAGCATGAAAATGGCAGACTCTCAGAACTTCGATTTGACCTGTCGTTTCCTCATTGGCTAACTTTCCATAAAGTTTTCTTATCGGCTCCTTTTCTCTTTCAAACGGCTTTGTTTTGTCCTTTTTCTTATTCTTTGTGTTCACTGTTTATTGACAAGGCTTACTTAACTAGGATTGTTCACTCTACTTTCTGGTTATTTTTCTTAGGATCGTCTAGATTATGATTAGGATCGTATTTTTACTGTTATGATTTTACCGAACATGTATTATTTTTTGTTTTACATTTCGTGGGGAATCTATTTTTCGGAATCTAAAAGTTGAACAAGTTTATGTGTAGCCATATCCAATATTATGCGATACTTGTTTATCTTTTTCACACTAATACCGACTACGAAAAAAAGGAATTGTTTACCAAAATAAAAGCCGCTATAAAGCAATAAAAAAACAATGTACATGTATTGTTGTAATTTATCAGTTAAAAAAAGGTTCTCTGGTTTTCTTTACCTGAAAGCAATATTTTACTTGTTTTAGCCTTTTAGGGCATAGGTGTAATTATAAACCAAGGAGATGACAACTCGTAAATGGTCGTGGAAGAGATTAGACCCCAAAGTTTGTGGGATTAGATAGACTGAAACACTCTTGACCCCTTCTCCTTCTGGGGTTTGCACTTTGCATTTATTAGCTTTTGTTTCCTAAAATGCAAATTATCTTCTTGAAAATAAATACTCATAATTTTGGTTGCATTGCACAGAAAAAAGTTCCTTTTCCTCATTTAATGTTCAAGAGATTTGCATTCCGACAGTGCTGATATTTCTGATCATACAAAATTTCTTTTGTCATTAGTTATAAGTTTATTGGTACAATCCTATAATATTTTTAATAAGTAAGACGTACTCAGTAATCTATATGGATAATGGATTCATTTCAGTTATCTAAATGACACTACATGGAAATATTATTTCATATAGCTTCTGGTTGCCGCAGATTAATAGTTTTGTTACTTTTGTACCATGTCTAATTTCATACGTGTGTTACCAAGATTCATATAAAGGGAAGTGTAATCTGACTAATTTCACATTGCTTCTACGAATAATGTCTTACAAATCAAACGTATATACACAATATAATGAGACAACAAAAGTAAAACATTCTTAGAAACTTAAGAAGCAGAGGGGGAAACTTATATAAGTAACAGTAAGAGTTTTGTGACAATAAACAAAAAGAAAAACAATAGTAGAGGATCATCACAGTGAAAATCCTAATCATTTGAAAAACTTACGTGTCAAATTACAAATCGTCATAAACGGAGTAGAGAAAAAGAATGTCGATGAAAGAAAAAGTTTGACTTGTTTAGTCACAACTGTCAATTTCCCAGCAAGACACATATCTCACTTACATATTACCAACGCGCTTTATTGCAAAAAACAGCGATATAAAATAAGAATAATTTTAAAAACCTAGTATTTATTTGCTAGATTCTTTACTGTTGTATATATAGAAGTTGCTCGAGTGGTCATTTTTACAATAAAGCAGTCTCCTCTCTAAAGAGTAAAGAAAGAGAAAAGAGTGAAAGAGAGAGAAAGAGAGAATATGGATCCTGAAGGTTTCACGAGTGGTTTATTCCGATGGAACCCAACGAGGGCAATGGTTCCACACCAACAACCTCCGGTTCCTCCTCCACCGCAGCCATCGCCGGTAACACCGCAGACGGCAGCATTTGGGATGCGACTAGGTGGTTTAGAGGGTTTGTTCGGTGCTTACGGAATACGTTTTTACACGGCGGCGAAGATAGCGGAGCTAGGATTTACGGCGAGCACGCTCGTGGGTATGAAAGACGAGGAGCTTGAGGATATGATGAATAGTCTCTCTCATATCTTCCGTTGGGAGCTTCTCGTCGGTGAACGGTACGGTATCAAAGCTGCGGTTAGAGCTGAACGGAGACGATTGCAAGAAGAGGAGGAGGAGGAATCTTCTAGACGCCGTCATTTGCTACTCACCGCCGCAGGTGATTCCGGCAATCATCTCGCTCTTGATGCTCTCTCCCAAGAAGGTACAATAATATCGACTAATTTTTTTAAAATAATCCACACGTATTGTATACGTATTGCTAATTAATCTCTTTAACTATTAGCTAGGCTTTTCAAACAAAAACCATATATATGTTCACGTGACTGATAGATACTGATATATGAATCTTGCCAAGATATATATATATATATATTGGCAACTATATATTTTTCTGGGGTAAAATAGGAGTATCATAGTTATATATGAACAACATTTTATGATTATGCTGTTGTTATAAAATATGGATTGCAATTGTTTGGAGGCTCTCGAGTGTAAGTTCACAATACTACAGTTGTCTTAACACGGAAACTCAATTTTGTTGAACTTTAAAAAACTTTTAACAAATTACGTATGTGTGTGTATAGTAGAGCTATTTGTGTATATAGACTATAGAGTATGCAGTTGTTTATAAGACTTAATGCAAGAAGCAGGTACGAGGATTACTATCATGTACAGAAAACTCAAAAAATACTATGCATAAGTTTTCTTTTATTGGCTACTATACGCATAAGTTTATCCTTTACGGAATAATTTTTTGTGTGATTGTGACAAAGTGTATGTAGATGATTGGACAGGGTTATCAGAGGAGCCACTTCAGCTGCAAGATCAGACAGATGCGGCGGGGAACAACGGCGGAGGAGGAGGCTACTGGGAAGCTGGCCAAGCAAAGATGAAGAAGCAGCAGCAAAGACGCAGAAAGAAACCGATGGTGGTGGCGTCAGTGGAAACCGACGATGACGGCAACGAGGGTGAAGATGACGACGGGATGGATAACGGTAACGGTGGTGGTAGTGCGTTGGGGATGGAGAGACAGAGGGAACATCCGTTTATTGTAACGGAGCCTGGGGAGGTGGCACGTGGCAAAAAGAACGGTTTGGATTATCTGTTCCACTTGTACGAACAATGCCGCGAGTTCCTTCTTCAGGTCCAGACAATTGCTAAAGACCGTGGCGAGAAATGCCCCACCAAGGTATCTTTTCGTTTTTATCCTCCAAGATTTAATCGTAGCCGTTCGGTTATTTTTACAAGAAAAGTTTTAAAAAGTGTATAAAATTGGTGTCGGAATTTATGGGGTATGGTAGGGAAACTATAGCTTTGTCATGGACAGCTGTTTTAAAGTAAGTTTGACAAGTCACGAGTTCAGAGTTTTCACTACAGTATTAATTTTATATTTTATCTTTTCTTTGCTATGTCTGGCAAAGATTTATATAGGTTCTGATTTTTTTTTTACTTTTTGTTTTCTTCTTGTCTTCAGAGTAATTATAGTTAGATTTCAATTCAAAATTTGACAGTCACCGTACGGCAACGTGTCAAGTTAGGGAAAGGACACAGTTGTTATTTTGTTTTTGGTTATAACGACATGAGATAAATAGATACGATGTCCCTCATGCATTAGATACAATTTCTGCAATCTGCATGCATTCATACACACACAGACACGAATATACTGTATATACATACACACGTAGATATAAAAAGTATATATTTTTGACAATTAAATAGGATAATATTGTTTGTGTATATTTAAGAAACATGCTATTACTCAGCGGGTAATAAAGGGTGTCTTCTTACCTCTAGTGACGATAGTACAGAATCCATGAGCCCTGTGCCATTGCTTGTGCAGACGCACGTTATTAAAACCTGAAGTTTTACAGATAACTTAACCGAATAAAATTCTTTTTTTCTTTTTTGGTTTTATTCTACTACTCAATTTTTTAGTGGTTCCAATTATATTTAAGTTCTTTAAGTTACAGCTACATCTACGGTTTCTTTTTAATTTATGATATGGACATTCAGATTTTTTGTTTGGAAAACTAAACAATTTTGGTTCATTTTAGGATTTATTTTGGTTGAAGGAGAAATTACAGTTTCAATTAGCCTTATATTTGTTAGTAATAATTTTGTTTTATGATATATGTTTTTAAACAATGAACCTTTGATGATTTGGTTATAGTTTCCAAATATGGCTTAAGAATTCTTATAGCTTTGGTTAAATTATTTGTGCAACATTACTTTGCGTACTGTATTCGACATCAGAATATTTATTAAATAACGGTTTGTTATGTTGTGGAAAAATATGTAAATAGGTGACGAACCAAGTGTTCAGGTACGCGAAGAAATCAGGAGCGAGTTACATAAACAAGCCAAAGATGCGACATTACGTCCACTGCTACGCTCTCCACTGCCTCGACGAAGAAGCCTCAAACGCTCTCCGAAGAGCGTTTAAAGAACGCGGTGAGAACGTTGGCTCGTGGCGTCAAGCTTGTTACAAGCCACTTGTGAACATCGCTTGTCGTCATGGCTGGGATATAGACGCCGTTTTCAACGCTCATCCTCGCCTCTCTATCTGGTATGTTCCCACTAAGCTGCGTCAGCTCTGCCATTTGGAGCGGAACAATGCGGTTGCTGCGGCTTCGTCTTTGGCTTTAGTTGGCGGTATTGCCTGTACGGGATCGTCGTCGACGGCACGGGCCGGCGAGGATTTGCAGTACTAGTTTGGTTGGCTTGTTGTGGTTTACTCGTTAGTTATCTTAATTAATTATTAGTCTTTAATTTAGTCCTTTTTTCCTAATTTCTTTTGTTTCTTTTCTTTTTTTCTCACCACTTTTGGCTAATTTGCAATTTGGTATACACGCAGATTTCTCATTACGTCAATTAAATTTTAACCAAACTGCTCAAATTCGAAGCACTCTATTACATTTGATTATGGAACACTGAAAACAAACACTTAAGCAAAAAACAAAAACAAAACACAAAACTCTGAAATGTTTGTTTTTTTTGTGCTCCCTCTCATTCTTTTGTTTTTAAAATAAAAAAGTCTCGGCGGAGAATGGGAGATGTATATTTATGATTTATATGTGGGCCTACTTTGCATTTTAAACAGAAACATACTTTGGGCCTACTTTGCATTTCTTCTTGGAGAGTTAAAGCCCAATGATCAAGTGTGACGCATGTATCTGTGCACCCAGATACTACTAACCAATGATATATCACCACGTTAATTGATGTCTACAACGACTTGTTTGAAATTCGAAATTGAACGAATGAAACAAAGAGGATTGAGAACACGACTATTTGAAATTCGAATCCTCTCTCTTCGGACTTGTGATCCTACAATGGAGTTCCCGCCAAGAGTGATCCACCCACGGAGATTCCAGGTGTCTCCAGCGCAATACACGGCGGCGAAAATCTCTGCACCCAAGGCGGCGCCTGATCTCCGAGCTAAGCTCGCGACGCTGGTCGATCGCAACACGAAAGTGAAAATGGCGTACCATCAACTCCAATCGCAGATCGCATTCGGCCTTGTCGAAGTATCCTCTTGACTCTTCTCTAGTTTGATAGATTCGATTTCAATCTAGATTTTAGCCTGATTGAAACTACTTCGAGAGATTCAACGAATCTGAGAGAGGTCATCGTATTTCTCTGGTTTTGTTAAGTGGATTCGAGCTTTGATTTGAGCGATTCGGAGAGTTTCAACAAATCTGAGAGCTGTTTTGGTATTATAAAGGCAGGGGAAGTTTTCGATTCGTTGGCGATCCCTTTGATGAAGCTGGTTGGGCTGAAAACGTCGGAGATGGAGAGCGAAGGGAGACTCTCCACCTTTATCTTCAATACTGTAAGTTATTCAACCAACCTTCTCGCAGAATCATGCCTTTGTTTCATAAATTTCCATCCATATTCATTACTTTATTTTCACCAGGAAAGATCTCATATGGATCCTGCCCAAAATGGAGCTCGTCCTGTTGATCTGAACAATCAAACTCGCCGTTCAAAGGTAAATTACATCATGATTCTGATAACATATATATAAGCCTAGTTCGTAATTAGATTGAATGCGAACCAGTGCTTATGATTCTGAAACTGTCGATTGCTTATTTGAATGCCATATTCTATTATTGATTGAATGTGAATATGATTCTGAAATGGTTATTTGTGTAGTCAAGTTGCATTCTGGTTATTCCTCATGTATGTTTTGATTGAATGCGAACAAATTGTTAGGATTCTCATGTTCTGATGCAGTCTTCTCTAAAGTTGCTGTTTCAAAATTTATCAATGGGTTTGACCAACCATATTTACCTATATGTGGGTTTTTAAGCTTTGCTACTCCTAGTGGAATTGTTCCTCAAAAAGTTCACTTGCAGTAATTTCTGATTCTGTAGGAAGAAAGCTACGCTGCTAAAGCGGAATCAGCGGGAAAAGAGATCTTGTACAAGCATAAGGGGCAACTGAGACAGCTAGTCGATATGCTTAGGCACATTGAAACGCAAGTGAATTCACACCGGGAAGACATTGTGGAGATGATTGACAGTCGCAGAAACTTGTTCCAAGAATTCATCCAGAAATCTCTTTACTACCTAAGCTCGGCTCACAGCCAAAACCATGACACTTTCCCTGCCACAGTGAAGCTCCTTCGTGTCCTATTTAATCACATCAACGAGGTGCTTGGTTCAGTAGATACTGGCGTCAATGATCTCATGCAGGCTTTAGCGAAGAACATGTGTAACCCGATGACCAAGTACGTAGGAAACTTGGCAGCTGAAATAAAGCTTGGCCCTTGTGCGCAACTGATGAATGTAGTGAACGAGATGGAGAGAGCACACGCAGATACAAAGAGAGAGCTGCAAGATGCTAGAGAAAGGATTAGACTTGCAGAAGCGACAAAGACTGAGGCTTTATCAAGGCTGAAAAAAGCTGAAGACCAAGTTCAGAGGATGACAAGCTCTGCCAGGTTTCTTCTACCCGCGAGTCAAAAGAAGCAAGCAGAATATTCTATTACTGGAAAGGTATTTTCGAAATGATGTTTTTGTTTGAGAAGCTCAGTGATTAATTAACTAAACACTGAAAGGTTTCTTCACCCTTTTTTTTTTGTCTATGTAGCGTACTTGCACAGAGGGAAGCCGAGAAAAAGAAGAGAAGCTACTCTGGGATCTACTGAGCAAAAGGAGAAAGCAACAAGAACCAGAGAGTCCAATGGGACCTAAAGAGCTTATCAGACGAGCAGACACGAAGCAGAAGCCATTGGTGTACAGTCGACGAATGACTAGGAGCCAAACAAGGTTAAGTTCTCAAGCGGCGAGTACTGATGCTTTGATCCCACTTGGTTTTTCACCTTCTGCTAAATAAAGTAAGCACAAGCCTGACCCGCTTTACATTAGAATATATCTTCACTATGCACAGAGAAACAATCAGATGTAATTGCTTCATTATTGCTTAAAAACCTTTCGACTTCTCTTTTATTATGTCATTGGTTACACTTTGATGAGTTTGGTGTTTTTAAAAAAAATCTTATGTTTGCCTTATAGCCATTTGTTGTTTCCAAGCCAAATCATATCACAGTACAGAGCACACAACTTCTTTCGAATTGCAACATATCACTCTTTTACACATCAATGCAGAGTTTCTCTATATTAATACGCTTGTTAGGCCATCGATCGGACAGCTTCATAAAACAGTATCTCTGGCCGAACATTCCTTTCTCCAAAGAATCTGACCACACTCTCCCAGTCACCTATGGCATCACAACACATGAGATATATCAACAATGTATAAACTCACAATTCAATCTTAAGGAAGACAAAGCACCAACTGTTTCGTCTTACCTCTCCTGCTAAAGACTCACTTTTGAGATTAACCCACCGGTCTTCTTGATAAGCTATGCAGATGCATTCTTTTTCTTCAACAGAGCCAACCTGCATTACATCCCACATATTCTGAGACTGTAACAGAGAAATACAGAAGAACAATTACACAAACACATGAGACCATGTTTCAGAATTTTTACCATTGACACAAGTCGGTAGTTAGTATTTGGTTCAAAGCCTTGGTACAGCCTGCTGATATCTATCTCCAACTCCAAAGCCTTTGTTGTTTCAGATATTTCTTCTTCAGTTTCAGTCCTTTCCCATTCCAACACTAATGTCGCAAACCCACAAAACACCAAAATTGTAAATATACCAAAAGCAAATGGCTAAATAAGATCACAATCATGGAGGTCAAACTTACTAATTGTGAAGATAGGGGGGCATCTACTTATAGTGCGATGAACAAAGTTTGTCTTTCCACAACCTCCTTTTTCAATGTCGCATAACATTTTGTAATCCACCCGGTCCACCTTGAGGATATCCACAAACTTTATATCCCCAAAAGCACACTGCATATGTATATAAGCACACAACAACTGTATAAGGGGAAGACCCAGTTTCTGTAGGAAAAACAATAAGGATAATAAATGAAACATACCTTCAGGTCTCGGATAGAATCTGCAGCTATCAAAGTGCCATAAAACCTTTCCTCCGGAGATTTTTGCTCCCTTCTGCATTTTCTACAACTTATACTTTCATTTTCATTCAACGTGAAAAGGCGATTCACCAAGCTTTCTCTTTCTGAATTTTTCCAGCATTGCCACAACTGAAGGATCTTTTCAAATGCCTCATCAGCATAACTCGTCTGCAAGAGTACAAAAAAAACAGAATACATTTAAATAACAATTAAGCTTATTGACTAATGAAACTAAAAAACCATGCTTAGAAGCTTATATTTACCAAACGATCGATGGGAGTGACTTCTTCTATGGAAGCAAGTAAGTCTCTGAAGAGGTAACTGTATACTCCATCATTTTTTATCATATCTGAGCTAAAAGCAGTGAAGAAGTTTTGCAGCGCACTAGGAACTTGTTCACCCGGGTGGGCGTGAAACGGTTGCTTTACATCGTCTTTAAGAACTTTAATGTTCATGAGGGCCTGCAATACCATACGTTTTTGTGAACTTATCAAAGAGAATAAGGAGGTAAAGAGATATGGAATGAGCTGAATCAGAAGATGAGAGTTTAGGTATTGAATCCTGTTTTTATATTTTGGTAACTGCTTCACCTTTAGCGTCATGTCAAGAGCTGAATTGTATCTGGCTACAGCTTCTCCAACCGCTGCCTCCAAAGGTTCCGCTGGAGGATCTTCTCCAGGTATGTTTTGCATATCTTGAAGATGGCGAATGAAAGAAATAAGAATTATGCATCTTAAAACAAGAAAAATTCAAATTATTCGTCAACTGAGAGAAGCTCTTTCACAACCTTGAATGTCATCTTCAGTAGGTTGATCTTGAATGTCAGTGTTGGATGAAATTTCCAGTCCACCCATCTCACTTGCAATAGTATCTTCTGGTTTCACAGCATCTTCGTCCATTGTAGAATAAAGTATGTTTAAGTGACTTGATTTATTCATAATACCAAACTTGGGTATTTATACAAGTATGCCTCCACAATAGATAACTTTAGATTCCTAAATATAAGGAATTGAACTCGATCATAATATTAACTCTATCCTTATTCTTTAACACATTGTATTTATCCTAATATACATCGTAATTTGTGATGGAGATGTACCTTCCAGTTCACGGTTGGCAGATTGGTCACTGGACATGTAAGAACACGCTTTGCTCAGAGAAACTCCGAAAACAATTTATCAACACGCAAAAAATGTATCTTGAGGTACTTACTGCTCAGCAGTCTTATCAAGGGGAATAGACATGCTCGTCGAAGTTATCTGTTGCGCCACTTCAAAGACCTTCTTGTTTTTATTTTTCTTCTTCTTTTGTGCTTGTGACTTCTCCTCTTCCTCGAGTAAAATATCTGCTTTTGCTTTTGCTGCATCTGACTTGGCTTTATATTCCATCTTTCCAATTTCATTCTAGACGAGAAGATACATTAAAACATATCAGAAACCATTCAAAAACAAAACAAAATCAGACGGAAAATGAAAGCTCTCTGTGTATAAACAAAGTTCCAAAAACCAACCAGTAAGAAAGGTTTCAGCAGTCGAAGCATGTAAGAGCGGTAGTCAAAAACAGAAAGCTTGGTGAGGTTGTCGAGCAATCTAATCCTTGAATTATCAATCAGCAGAATCTTTGAACCAGTTAGCAGACCCTGCAAGCCACCTAGATAGTTTTAGATGGACAATTCTTTGTTACTCAGTTGTCAGTAAATATTCAAATCATGAATGAACCTTGAAGGTGACCGCAGACTTCAGAACATCCGTGGAGTTCACCACAGAATCATCGTTGACATCTTTACGCTCACATATGAGACGCAGCGAGTTAACATCCGAATTAAATATCGGCTGCGACGGGTGTCCTTGGAAAACATCTCGTACTGCACACAAGAATAATTCTGAGGAGGGGGATTTTTCGTTGAACCTCTCTTCACATTTATCGCATAGAAGAGATGCATAGCTCTTCCATTGATCTTCCGGAATATCCCTTCTTCTTTCCCATTCGCTCATACACAAGTTCTCGACTTCTGTAAGAGCTGCTTCATATGCTGAGAACTGCTTCTTCTTTGCATAGTTGCTTCTCAAAGTTCTACACGTGAGCTGAACAGCTCTCAGAACAGCCATCCATATATCAAGATTGTGTTCTCTGATAGGTTTGGAAAAGAAGCTCTCATCTACTGAAGAATCGTCAACTAACCAGGATATGATATCATCTCCCTGCACCTTTCCCTCGGCGTAGTGGGCATTGGGATCAGCAATTAAATTGATATTCCCTTCATCATCAAGTGGAACATACTTTTTCTTCAACAGTCTTTTATCCGGCAGCACAAATGAGAATTCATCGTCCAAGTCGATCGTATCTTGAACTCGAGTACGATCCCAGAAACTGTCCACTGCTCTGCAGACCAGATCCGTACCATCATCCCTTTCACACTTGATTTTCTTAAGAAAGTATTGGATTTGATCGAGTTCATCATATTCCAGAAAACAGATACCCTGAGGTGTTTCTGCTAGCTGAGAACCGAAGACATCTTTGGAAACTCCAAGTTTTAGAAGAAGCTGAACCGGAAAATCCATCAGCCAGGCTCGAATGCTACTGGAGAGAATCATACGGTCACAGAGCAGCACAAGGAGCGATTTGATCTCATTGAGTAACTTCCTGCGCTTTTCATCCGCAGCTACAGGCCATTCTTCGGACCATCCCCTCTTCTTAGATTTAGATGTAAACTCTTTCACATATTCGAGCTGATTTGTAATCATCTCAACAGCAGCTACTGCATCCACCGGTTCCCAAGCTCCACCTGATATCTTACGAGCCCAGTCTTTCCCTATCCTCTTGACCATATCATTCTCCGAAGAAGGTTTAAAATCTGCACCATGTTCTTGTTCAAGATGAGTCTTACATTCTTCAGCACTATGCATCTCCTTTGAGCATGAAGTTCGGCACTGCCAGAATCGCCATTTCTTGTGTTCCCTCGCAAAGGCGAGAGCTTTTTCCAAAGCCTCTCGTCCCTCTCTCTTATGTACTCCCTCGGCATAACTTCTAAGCTCTGCAATGCTTACTTTCATCAAGTCCCGTTTGATCTCAGCATCCAAACCCAACCAATACGACCTCAATCCTTTAGACTCATCTTTAGACGTCTCTGGACTTTTCTTTGGCTCCCAAACTCTCGTCAAACCAGCTATAGTACTGGGAGATGCGATCTTGGACTTTGCATCTTCGATTATACGCTCCAGTCCTCTGTTTTGGTCCGTCCACAAGCTCTGCTCTTTCGAGCTCATTCGCGAGGTTTCTGTTTGAGGAAGAGATAAACCTTGTTTTGCTTTCTTCATGGACTTCTTGTAAAAGTGGAGTGACCCAATCTCGGAGGCCAATCCGTGGAGAGCATTTGCACAAACTGGTGAATACAGAGCAGCGTCCCAATAGCATCCTATAGCGGCCAACAAGAATGCGCACTTCACGTCTGGGTTCTCTGCTTTGATCTGTAGATGCAAGAATGCAGTGGCTTGTTCGTGATGAAGACGCGATGATGTGCCCTCGTTTTCCCCGTGGACTAGAATCGAATCCTCAGTAAACACCAAGGCCTTAATGAGTTCTCTTTTGGCGATGAGATCTTCAGCAGTCTTGACGAGCTTTTTGCACTCCTCATCTTCCATGAGAGAAGCCTCCACAGTATCGAGATGCTTTCGCTTTCTCGGGTCTCAAAGCTTTCTTTTTTTTTCTTTTCTTTGCTTGAGAGAGAAATTTGTTAGAGTAGTGGCGGGAAAAAAGGAAATCAACCAACGAGAATAACAGCAAGGTACTGAAGAAGAGACTGGCTTTTATCACGTGAGAGCCACGTGGACAAGGCTTGCGAATATACAACAGCAGAGACCCAGCTTTGAGCATTGGGTAATTCTGTCGAACACCTTGTGTGCATATCTGGGATTTTCCCGGACTCGATAAAAGCCCACCCAAAAAAAAAAACCCAAAATTTGTGTAAAATCTTCGAAATTGGCATAAGAGCTAAATGTAGTAAAATGGTCTTCATTTTCGGGATTATCAAAATCAAAATTTCGTTGTTATGCTTTGGATGAAAGATCAACGATAAGAGACGACACAAGAGATTGGATAGAGGAAGACGAAAATGTAGAAATTGGCGTGAAAACGTAGGATGAGCACGAGCGGTTGACACGTGTGATGGACTTAAAAAATAGCCCAAGCTATACCACTTTTAAAATAGTGGGCCTTATTTATACATGTAGGCCCAAATTACCTTCCGGCGTCGGTTAGGGTTCAATTGATGATTACTAAAACCCCGCCTCCGTCTTTGAACGCAGAATTGGGTCGGAGAATCTCTGATTCCGATAACATCGTGCCGTCTCTTGTTCTACCGGTAAGTTTCTCAATTCGATTCATCAGCGTACACTCGACTTGTCTTTGTTTCAGATTCTACCTTGTGTATTTTTCTTTTCTGGATTATGTTTGTGGTGATCGTAGACAGTACTTACATTCCAGGTATCCTAAAAGGTGTCGAACGAGGGATTGATTACTTCTCTGTAATTTTCATATACTTGGCCATGGTATGTAATTTCCCGACTGATTGTTTTGTTTAATTTTCAAATTTCACATTTTTTTTTTCTGACTAGAGCCAGTTTGAGAAATTGTGCCATCATCTATGTGACCTTGATTGCTTGTGAGATCCTGAAGTTTGAAATTTTTCCTTTTTCCAGATTAATACATATTTTTGGGTTAAATTTGGTGTGCAGGGTACGAGACTTCTGGCAAATTTGATAGTGGCGGGAAGTGGCGTCGTCTTCAGGGCTTTTTCTCAGGCATATCGGCAGGCGCTTACAAGTATGTCTTTGAATTACAGTCTTCTGATTCTTGTTTCTTGGCAAGAATGTACTTTATCATAACATTGTTTGTTTGAAATGGTCGTCACAGATGCGTCAAAGACCGGGGCTGCGCAAGAAGCAGTGCATAACATTAAGAGAGGAAGCAAAGGGATTGTAATAAGCGAGCCAGAGGCAAGACAGATTCTTGGTGTAACCGAGAAATCATCTTGGGACGATGTTCTTAAGGTTTGTCTCTCTTTCACATTCTTATCATTGCAAATTTTGTGTTATTGACATTGTATTGTGTTTTATATGTATGCAGAAATACGACAAGTTGTTCGAACGCAATGCACAAAACGGAAGCTTCTATCTCCAATCGAAGGTCCACAGAGCTAAAGAATGCTTAGAGGTTGCTTACCAGAAGAAAGCAGATGGACCGACAACAATCGCATAAACAAATAATAATATTATAGTGAAAGGCAATAACGGTTTAGAAACAAATCGGGAATGTTCTTTGTTTGATATCAGTTTAGTGTTGACTCGAGAAGTTTGAAAAAAAAAAATTGAATGGAGAGATGGTGGAGAGACTGATAATAAGGCCGCAAAGGTTGAAATGAGAGAAAGACGGTGATGCTGGCGTTCGAACAGTCACCGACTCACCGGCCGGTTGTTATTAAAGTCTTGACATGTTTTAAAAAATTGACTTTTGTAGTTATTAGGTAAACTAGTTGAATTCTCTAGCCTGTCGAGTTGAACCAGTGATAGGAACTATTGTTAGAGACTTAGAGTTCCACTAGTAAGTGGCATAAGACTTTGAAGTCCAAGTCCAACTTCAAGTGGGTTTTGGTCGAAGACTTTGAGATTCGAGTGCGATTAGCTACATTGCGGCGGTGTCTACTACGCGTCTGAAACCGAGCATGGCTCTATTCGAACGCGAATCGCGTTTCTTTAAATCATCTTACAACATTAATTAACACAACCGAAACAAAACTATTAAAGAGGAATCTTAATTGAACTTTGAATGTTGTCTTTCAAGTCGGCCGCCGAATTTTGTGGTTCACACACTAAACTAATTGCTGATTTAGAATTAAAAAACAACTTAAAGTCAACTATCATATGGTATTTTTCTAATTAGATTTCATTTTCAACCAACTTTATGGTAACAGCGCAGTTAAAACGTAAAAACTTCATTTGCATATCTATTACGCAGTCGATTAGATGCACATTGATATTTGTAATTGGCTGATGCAAACATGTATTGTTGGTATTGATGGGAATGAAACATGAGTTGAAGCTTGGTCAAATATTAATGGAACATCCGAACATGCATGTATACATTTTAAGAAAAAAGTTTCAGAGATGGTATCTAACTAATCGCACCACAATAGATAATTATGTTTGCATTTGTAGTGTATATCAGGGAACAGTTTTTAGAAAACGGTGATTTTTACCAACTATATTTGGTATTCCTCATGTAAATTGTTGAGAATATATTGTCACGCCCAAAAATGTTGTAGCTTAATTAGTAAGAAACAAAAACTTATACGTTCAAGAAATCTTAATGAAATACAAAATAAAATAATAGAGAAAACACTCAAAAAATCTTCAAGAAACAATCATATCTTCATCATATATAGTAACACAAATCTCTTATATATTATCTCAATAGCCCTAATGAGGAGAGGAAGAATCTCCAAACCGCCAAAACCTGGCATAATCTTGCTCTTCTTGTTGCCTAGAAGAGCCACCAGAAGATGAAGAAGTTGTAGCAGCAGTAGTAGTAGTTGATAAACTATGATCATGGCCCGACATTGAATATCCGCTACCGTTGCCATATCCCCCGCCCGAATTAAAACTTAGCATATCACTACTACTCCCATCTTGATAATACTGGTTATAGTATGGTAAATTTTGCGGATCGGTTTGTGGAGTTTGATTGGAAGAGTAATAAGTAGAGTTTGACAGAACATTGCTTCCGAGCTGAACCCTCTCCGGGAAATTGAGTTTGGCTTTGCTTCCTTTGAACTTAAGAGCTGCTTCGTCATAAGCCAAGGCCGCTGATTCAGCAGTTTCAAAAGTCCCTAGCCACACACGTGCCGCCTTTTGAGGATCTCTAATTTCGGCTGCCCATTTTCCCCATGGCCTTTGCCTCACTCCTCTATAATGTCTCTTCCTCAAGTTCCCTTAATATCAGTCACAAAAAAATGAAATCAATAAAACTGCGTAGCACATGTATTTAAATGGATATCATCACAAAACTGGTGCTGACAAATTGAACCATATACTATATACGGTCATGCTATATACATGATAACATGTCCAACAAACTATCCCAATTAGAAATCACATTTTTAATGATAACATAATTTAAGTCAGAACCGTCTAATCAAGTTCATGAAATATGCATAAAATCTCCAATAGTTTAATTAACATAGTCCTGGTTACAACTTCAACCACAAAAGACGTGACATGTTAGTATACCTTGATCCTGATGAGTAGGAGCATCTGGCTGATTAGGGTCTTGTGGGTTATACACAGAAGGATTATCATGTTGTTGGTTTCCGATTACTTGAGTCAAAGCCGAGACCATAACACGCATGTCGTGTTGAGAGCGAGCAGAGAAGGCCGGAAACAAGGTATTATCTTCCTCGGCTTCTTCCTTTTCTACAGATTCATAGCCTCCAAAGGGCCCCATTCCATAGATTCGAGGATCCAGTTTTGCTAGATTTTAAATATAACACTCTCTTCTTCCTTTTAAAAAGATCAAATCCGATATAGGATTTAGAGTTTAGGGTTGTTCAGTTTTCTCTTTGAACATCAAGAACAAGAACTCGATAAAATAGAAGAAACTAGATTGAAGTACTGAATGAAGAGAAAGAGAGAGAGAGTAAAGGCTTTTTTTGGGTTTGCAATATTTCTTGAGCTTTTATAGAGAAAATCTAATTTCTGTCTACGTGTGAACATATGACCTTCATAAATATACGTTTTTTCTTTTTCATTTTTTGTGCATCTTCTTTTGTCTTTAATATTCTGTTTTATGTATTTAATATAGTAGTAACAAAAAAAAATTGTGTGTACGATCAGTACGGATGGAGATGTATAGCATGAGAATGTTTGTTAAACTTGTTAAAAAAAAAGTGCATGAGTATTAAAATATCAGACTAAGGGGATATATATTTGATAAAGACTAGTATAAAAGATACTACACGAGGTGGAAAGACTAAACATGCAAAAGTACACAAAAATAAAATAAAGAAGAGGGGCAAATGCATGCATGTTCATGTTTTGTTCAATTATATACTGTTGTTAAAGAGTGAACACACTCATGGACTCGAGGAAAAGAAACAATATTCTTTCTGAATATTAATTTTAAAATATAGAAGAACTCTTGTCCCGTACGTGTTCTTAGGAAAAGTTGTAAATGTAATGTAAACCGACAGTTTGTTTTTCCTCAAAAACCGACATTTAATTTTCTTCGAGTTTAAGATGGAGTAAAACGTTTCCTTTGTGGATCGAGCCGAGCGTGATAAAGGCAATATGAGTTTGCGTACGTGTGAAGTGAATCGATTATTTAATTAAGGTTTGACTAAAAGTTTGCAACACAATAGACGTTTTGAAACCTCTGAATCCAAGAAACATGTACACACTCAAATCGAATCGAATTAACAAAATGCTTAGTTGGTAAACAAATGAAGCAAACAAGAAAATCGTGAGATAGTCTACGTTTTCCTCCTTAATAATTCCTTAAAATGATTAAAATCTTTAAAGCATGCTTTCTTATACTACGCATGCAATTAAGAGGATATTTCCGAAGACTTCATAATAAATAAAGCTGTATGATAAAACGAAAAATCTATAGTGTTATATATTGTAACATTGTTTAGTTGCTAGTGTGAGGGGTTTGTGTACACGTTTCTGCTTTCGAATGGATTATTTTTACGACTTACCTATCTTTATTTTATGCGATTTTATCAAAAATGTTTAATATTTGAAAAACTGATAAAGTCTTGACCCAAAAAAGTCAACAGCTAACTAAGTTGACAGGTAAAGAACTTTTGTACAATGCAAGACTTGTAAATGCAATCCAGCCACTTTGACTAACAAGATGGGTCTCTGTGTGTGTATGTGTAGCTGTTAGGTTCAACTACCATTTCCCTAACCGGCGGTTTATTTATGTCTATGATCAAATTTCTCAAACTAAAAGTAAAAGCATTACTGTTAAATGTCTTTTAATTAGTCTCACTACCCCTCTAGTAAATCTTAGATCACCATGTGCTACCACCCTCACTAGTCAGTTAATTTAACGGAGAATTTATTACCTTTTGACTATATTTTGTTTCACGTGTGAAAACATAAATCAATTTGTATCTGTAACTCAATAAATTTAAGATTGGTTTGGATGTGTACTGTTTTCTTGTTAACAAAAAGGGTAAACAAATTTTAAGACAAAACAAAATCCACTGTCGTATAATCAGTCGCTTCATTCGAGACTTTGTACATCCCAGACTTCGAAATTAAAAAAAAAAGGAAAATAGAAAAGCCAATGCACTCGGCCAAAACGGCAGCGTTTTCTCGCGCTGTAGTAGTTAAGCCGGTGTAAAGTATATGTACACTTTCCTTGCCTTACGCAAATCATTTACACACACACACACACACACACACACACAGATCATTCATGGAGAGGTATTGGCTTCATATTACGGATTCTCATATACGTCAAAAACTGTGAAGGCAGTTCTGCAAGAAGAGCTTGTACCACAGAGATCTCTCCATCTGCAAAAACGCAACACAACCACATATTAAAACCCATCAAACCACGTTTCAGGGCGTTCTCGTGCGTTTACTGCGGTTAAATTCAAGAATCAAACGAAATCTCACGTTGCACATCTCGTAGTGCCACAAACTGAACGATATCTCGTGAAGCCACTCGCCCACTCGAGCTCTCCAATCTTTCTCCTCTATCTCCGTCTAGTATCTAAGAACCCCACACCAAAACAAAAACACAGTTTACACTTTACACAAAGATCATACATATATAGTTGTAAGAATCGTAAATGTTTTAATGATTTTACCTCCATCTCTTTAAAATCAGCTCCTCCAACTCCTACGATGAGGATCGATAACGGCAAATCCGATGCACTGACTAATGCGTCTTTCGTCTCTTGAAGATCTGTTATAACACCGTCCTGATACAAGTTTTTTTTTGTAATGGTTTATAAACAATGTTTGATTTCTCATGTTATGTTATGTTGGTATTCTTTAATATACACAAACTCACTGTGATGATTAGTAAAACATAGTATCTCCGTGAACCTTGAGCTAGAGACTGGCTGGCGATCATCGCAGCAGAGTTGATCACCGGACCAAAAAGAGTAGGCCCTGCAAGAGATACGTTATAGAGGGCACTGGTGTATGAAGTCATGATACCTTGAATCCCATCCACCTGAGAAGAAAAAAAACAATTGATGTGAGAATCTGAGAAGACAGCAAAGTTTTCATTTTTAAAAGATACGCTGCGAGTTTGTTTACCTCACAGTAGGAACTGCTTCCGTTGAGGTTAAAGCAATGAGAAACTGGACTGTCGATTGGACGAGCTCCGAATCCCCAGGCAGGGAAACGTTTGTCTGAGTCATAAAACTGCAACACTTCTCCAACATCCACTATTGCCTGAGTAAAAACACAAGATCACGATGGTTCTAGCCTTTTAGTTACAGTCACTGCTAATTAGAAGAAAAGTGGAATAACGAGCAGTGAGTTCTTACTTTCTGGTAGGCATTTAATTGTCCTGAAGGAGCAATGTAGTGCAAAGAATCAGGGAGGCGGGGATTTCCGTTTGAAGCTGTAGGACGGTAGAAAAGTTTTAAGTTAGTGTACAAGAAAGGCTATGGAGGCCAACAGAATAATGAAAGGTTTTAGCAGTTTCTGCAGTGGTGCAAATGCATACCTGTGAAATCGATTGCTACCATGAAGCTTAATTCAAACCCAGATGCCAAGTATTCTAGGAATGTGTGCTGGACAGTCTCGGTAAACTTTTCCACGAAAAGCTGGCTCTTTAACACCTGAAAAACGATAAAAATTTGTATTAGATTAGCTTACATGAAAAGGTTAAGAAATAAGAAGCCTCTTAGTACTAGTTTATACCTTGTTTTGTCCAGCAGTAGGCAAAGAAAAATTGATTCCTTGGCGAGCTAAATGAAGTTTTTCCAAGTCTGCAAGCGATTTCTGAACTTTTCCGATGAGACTGTGTTTGCCATTGGAGTTAAAGTCTGAGCATTCTATTATCAGTGGGCTCTCCTGCAGGATTATAGCAAAAAAAAACTTGAGACATCTTTTGAAAAATCAACATGCATTATCTCAAACGAAGAAACAGATTTTATGTTCCTTTCATTGCATATTCTTGGACAAGTTCAGATATAAGAAATCTCTTGTACCTTACTTCCCACTTGTTGAACACTTAGAAAGACTGGTTTCCAAATAGGGTTAAGATTATTCTTCAACACTTCAGTTTTCGACACCGGGATTGGAGTTCCATGCTCCACAATCTTTGATACCACCAAAAAGGGGTCCTAAAGATGAGCAAAAAAAAAGAGAGTCATACTTATGTCTATTTTTAGTAAAATGGCAAAAGAGAATAATAAATCCACAAACTTACACTTTTTGAGAAAAGATCCTTAGATTCCAAACTCGAGCATCTAAATACTATCTCTGTTGTAATCTTCGAAGCAAGTGACTCCTCAGCATGGATAATAAGCTTTCCGTGGTGAGGCTGAGTCTGTGCGGCAAAGCCTTCTTTACGCTTGAGATCTAATGTGATCGTCCTCGTCGATTTCGTAATTATCTGCGTGGTTTCAAATGAACATACTAAGTCAGTATAATTTTCAAGTCAATCAAATTTCTAATGCTTTCTTATAATTTGGAGAGATAAGAGAGCATTTGTGTAGTTGATACCTCAGACAATGCACATGTTGCCTCACCGAGAAATTGCTGTTCATCAAGCTTAATCATCTGAAAAGTAATTCTTCAGTTGTAAGTAGACTTTATATATTACATGCTTAACAAAAGTAGGTTGTGAATTAGCAGTTATTCTTCAGTAAATTAGTAGTTACCTCGACTCTTGAATTCTGGAATTTGGTGTCAACATCATACAAACGAAACCTGTGTATAAAAACAAGCCAACAGAAGGAGTCATATACATTTTCAGGTTTATTATTATCACTTTCCTCAGTCACATATATATAAGATTAAGAGTCTTACAACAACTTCTGCACAGTCTCGAAATGATAAGCGACTATAAATTTCTTAATCCATTTCGGAGCTAAGGAGTTGAGAACAACTTCGCTGCGGAACACTTCTGTAAGCGTTGCATCTTTTTCTATCTTATAAACAACCACCATTGGATCACTCTGCAGAAAGAAAAAACAAGAAGTTTGTCATGCCACGGCAAGTAAAAGAAACCGTAAAATTAGGCCATAGATCCCAGAAGAGCTCCACAACAATGTTAATTTTATAGCTTCAACGATGAGACATTTGAATTAGAGAAGCCAAATTACAACACTAACCTTGGAGAGCACGTCCCGGTCTCGCAAATTGGAAGCAGAAAATGATAGCTGCAAAATCAAAACATAATTAAACACTCGGATACAGGGACAATCGAATTGTTAAAACGTTTTTGGCGGGACGAAACAAATTCACGCGGACGTAGAAACAAAGATGATGGAGTGAGAACCTCGATCTGAGAGAAGAGTCCGTTGAAACCTCGAGACTTGAGATAGTAATCAACGGCGTCGTTAGTAGTGGCGAGACCGGCGGAGGAACCAGTTCCACCAACGCCGACTATGGCACCAGCGCCGGAAGAGACATCGGAGCAGCAGTTACCCATCGAAAAAGCCTCTCGATTTACCAAGAAACTGTGGATGGATGATCAGAAGCACCTGGGTCGAACAACACAGACAATTGAGGAATGAAAATTTCGGAGAAGGAAGAAGATTCAGACAACAAATGGGACCCACTTTCCAACTAAGCTTTTATTTTTGATTGTCTGGCGCTCGTCTCCGTTTTATAGGTTTTTTTTAATAATCAAACCGACTTTTTCATTAAAAATTTTTTTGACTTGAGCGAAGGATATCTAAAACGAAATATCCAAGAAACGTTCTGCAGTTTTCTGAGAACTTCTCTTTGTGAAAAAAGCTTTAGTAAACGTGTGTTGGTCAATCTTTATATACGTACGAAAACAATTCTAATTTACTGAAACATATTCTAAGATACGTCACAAAATATACAAGTTCATTAGAGTCTGTATACCATTAATTAAACATATAAAATAGTTAGGACATTCCACCTTTTATATTTTTAAAAACTTTTTGGAACAAAACAATTAAATTTAACAAACCTAATTAAGATGTGAAAGCTACCATGTCCCATGTTGTTCCATTTGATCAGTGAGATCTGAATTTCATTGTTGTTTTTTTTTTATTATTTCATTCTAGTTTTTTACTAGTTGTTTTAAATAATGCTTCTTTAGCCATTCGCTAATTCATTTTAAAATGGCAAATACACTATTGTTAAAGGATCCTATTTTTGAAAACCATATTGTTGTCTCTCTTTTTTTATTTCAACAAACATATTATTGTCTATTGATATTGTTAAATGTTAATACAGCCGTTAAAACCAATCGAATCATTTTTAATTATGACTTATGAGTTATTATAAGCTGGCAGATACACATAATAAGTAGAACAACTGATTTCCATCCAACATATTAAATAAACTTTGTTCTTAATATTGGATCAATAATTTTATATTTACAATACACTTGTATTTATAATTCTTTCTTTTTTTGGCCAACTGGATGAAGGATTGTAATAAAAAGGTAATTTTATTTACAATACACTTGTATTTATAATTCTTTCTTTTTCTTAATATGCTTCTTTCAGTGAAGGATTGTAAATTTGTAATAAAGATTTTTCTTTCATATTAAATTTTAGAAATTGTCAGACAACATAAAAGCTATTCCTTTTGAGAAATATTCAGACAACAAGTTGTTTGCTTTTGGAGTATAAGTGTATTGTGTATAACACTAGAATTGCCTTTAAAGTGAGGGTAAGATTAGGAAATAGTGAGGGACTTTCCCGTGACAATATTAACACATTTAGGTAATTATTTATTACTATGGGAGACCGACCCAATTTTATTTCGAGACAATTCACTGATTCAGAGAGGCGGATATGAAATTTGGTTTTTCCATTTCAGTTTTTTTTCTTATTCCTCAATATAATTATGATCTGCGACCCAATCCCCACCATCCACAAAGGTGTAAACAGTAAGGACCATTGACAAAAAGAAAGAAGGCAGGACCATAACCTAAGTAAATTCTACTCACAAAGGTAAACAACAAAAGAGGAAAAGAAAGAGAAAGAAATGTGATTTAAAATCTTTTAATTGGAAAATAAGATAAAGACAAGAGACAAGCGGAAAAACAGAGATCACGTGAATTGCAATGCAAGTGCTCAAACATATATAGTGGGAGACTTAGGACCCCGAGAGAAAACTCAAAACCAAAGCAAAGTCTTTTGTCTAGCAATATGACTTAGTGTTTAGGCCAGTTAATCTTAGAGTCAATAAGCATATTCTTGGTCCCAATTTAGAGTTTGGGAGGGCTATTTAGCCTGTTTTCAAGTGATCCTTGAAGGTAATTATTCTTAACATCAAAACCCCAAGTATTCAATACGAATATACTAAAAGTGTTTTCGGAGAAGTCATGAGAACAGAGTTATAATATCTTTTATTGGTTTCAAATTGCACTTTTGAAACGGGATTTCAACTCAGAAATGAATATATAATCAAAACTCAAATGATAAAAGAGTTATAATCTGTTTTCTAAGTTTTATATCCGAATCAGTATTGCATTTCATATTGCACTCCTGAAACGGGACTTGAAGAAGTTTTAATGGTTTAAGGAATTTTCTGATGCTCAGCTCAGAAAACCAAACCATTTATGTAAAAGCAATTTAAGTTACAGCAAACGAGATGGAGACTCTACCTTTTAATGTGTTTGTCCCCTTTTTTCCAGCGAGCGCACCAGTTCGAGTCCATGCTTCCAGTCACCAATACACACAAGTTGCCCAGATCCTGCAAAGCAAGTGCAAAGAGGTTTTCAGCATCATCCATCAATCTGTTTCTCACCTGAACAGAAACCATGAGTTTAAAAAAAGTCACTACTTACACGAGAGTTAACAGAGTCCTCTGCTGCAGGCCAGGTTGGCAATACTTAGCTTTAGCAGTTTTAGGAAGTTTGATTATAGGTTATGGTTGCATCCGCTGTGTGAGGGTAATAAGACTGATTCACCGCATTCCAGTCTCCTGTTGCAGCATTCCAATCAGTTGTCCCCGGAGGCGCTGGTATAGAACCTTGCATTACAGCTTGTTGAGTGTATACACCAGCTTGGGCATGGTATTGCGGCGTGTATCCAACAGCTTGAGCATGTGGTTGCGTTGCGTATCCAACACCCTGAGCATATGGTTGCTGAGCGTATGCGGTTGCTCCGGCATTGGGCTGCTGAGGGTACGCAGTTGCTCCGGCACTGGGCTGCTGAGGGTACGCAGTTGCTGCACCATTAGGTTGCTGAAGGTATGCAGTTGCTGCACCATTGGGTTGCTGAAGGTATGCAGTAGCTGCACCATTGGGTTGCTGAGGGTACAGAGTTGCTGCACCATTAGGTTGCTGAAGGTATGCAGTAGCTGCACCATTGGGTTGCTGAGGGTACAGAGTTGCTGCACCATTAGGTTGCTGAAGGTATGCAGTTGCTTCACCATTGGGTTGCTGAGGGTACGCAGTTGTTGCAGCATTGGGTTGCTGAGGGTACACAGCTGCTGCAGCATAGGGTTGCTGAGGGTATGCAGTTGCTGCAGCATAGTGTTGCTGACCGTACCCAAATTCAGAAAGTTGCTGAGGGTAACCAGTTGCTGCAGCATGGTGTTGCTGACCGTACCCGTTTTCAGGGGGCTGTTGAGTATAGCCAGTTGCACCTGCATAGAGTTGAGTAGAATACCCCATAGCTGCATAATATTGCTGTTCTGAGTAACTAGCTGTTCCAGGATGGGGTTGTTTACTTTCTTCGACACTCACAGGCTGTGGATGAGCGGTATCACTAACTGCTACACTTTGAGGTTGGTGACTGTAACCAACTGCTCCAGCAGCTGGTTGTGGGGCTTCACCATGTGCCTGTGTAGGATAGCCAGCTATCTCAGTCTGAGATTGAGCAACACTAGCTGCCTGCATATCTGATTGCATGGACATTGTAGTATTTGGAACTGTAGATGATACTTCTGGGTGGTAGTAGGTGCCAGCAGGGATCTCATGCTGCTGACTAGCTTCCCCTTCTTTCTGTGCTGCTGAAGTAGATAACTCACTTCTATACACATTCCCATTAGCTGCAGATGCAGATGGCTGCTCATTCCTAGATAATGTCGAAGGGTAATAACTATTATCAGAATAAGGTGAAGCGAACTTGTCCTTCTCTGATGGCGTTGCCGGGTGATATTCATTTTCTGAGCCTGAGAACTCTGGGTCAGTTCCATATCTGCCATAACATAAAAAACAAACCTTATAATTACACATTTCACATATAGATAACTGCAAAGACAGAGAACAGAGACAGCATAAAAATCTCCAGGATAGAGGAGTCTAGTAGAGTTCTCAATTTTGCTATGCTTTCAAACTCTCATGACTACATATATCAGGTCTGTAGTGAGCTAAGGACATATGCCTCTTAGTGAATGATCAATATATTAGATAGTTAGTCGATAGTTACCTGCGGATATTAGATAAAATGGTAAGGTATTTGAGTTGAGGGTCCTGTATAGAGCGTGAAGAGTCTCCGAGCGAGCGTTGCTGCCGAATATCTGTAGGAAAATAAGGCTGCTGATTCAAACTTGACAGACTTAGTGCTTCTCTCACTGGAGTTGCGTACTCGTCTTGTCTGGAGTAAGTATGTTGGAGCAGAGGTGTGCGGGGAACAGACTGATGTGGCATTAGAGAGCCAAGTCGTGGCTCTGCATGACGAGCAGACAGAGGATCTAACACTGACGAAGCGTTTCTAAGCTGCGTAGCAGCTATGAACCGTTCCTCGAAAGATAGCGCCCTTGGAGCTGAGGCTCTGGAAGCAAATCTATGAGGTAACGCATCGAGTTCTGGAGCAGTAAATGGACGGAACAATGATAACAGATGCATAACCTGCAAATCCATAAACATTTGTTCAGCAACTTTAAGAAAAACTGGCACTTTGAAAGATGTGTTGTAAATAGCAAAGGAAGTGTATTACTTGGTGAGGAGCAAGCTCTTGCTTAAACTTGCCGCCTTTGTAATTCTCATAGAGAGCAGACTTGAAAGTGTTTTCTGGCAATGGATAACAGTTCTTGACGATTCTAAATCCAACCTGCCAAGATCATGAAAAAGATTAGCCCTCAGGCACATTCCGTTGAGATTTGTCCACTGTCATTTACACATAATCATATGTATTTACCTGAGCTGGATATTTCCTTTCAAAAGCTTCTGGTTCAATATCCAACTTGCCACCAATAGTAGCTTCGTAAACACCATAAAGAAGTCTCTTCTCGAAGTCATAGAGGAAAAGCTTCATGCCTGGCTTTATACTCTCAACAACGTTTCTCCCAGCTTTTGGTATCCCGAAAACACGGTAACGATAGCAATCGGCTTTTGTTCTCCCATTGCAAATAAAGATATAACCAGGTAGCTGTTCGTGATCCAGCCTCCTTTCAATCCCATTTCCTAATCCAATGGTTGCTGAGTTTCCATATCCATGAAGAGCCGAAAGACCAGTCCTGTTGTACGCAGGAGGTGTGGAATATTGGGGAACGGAGACGTGTCCGTTAGGATTAGCTTGCTCACCATCCGAGAAATCCATCTCCGTCTCCATAGCCTCTGCCATTTTTTTTAACTGTATTTCAATACAAGTAAGCTTGTGACCAAGAGAAGAAGAAACGACAGCAAAACAAGAACATATACGCGATACAAAGGAATTGAGACTCTGAAGAGAAAATGAAATGTGCCACTACCAGAAAAGAGCATACGAATTTCAGAACAGAGAGATGGAAATGACGCAGAGCAGAACAAAACTGACTTACCGGAGCAAAAATACGATTTTGGAACCCTAATAGAGAAATTGAAAACCAGAGCGATTGAATTTTCGATCGGATCAGCTCATTATCTGCCTTGATTTTATCTGATGAATTTAAGAGCGAATCTGAACAAACAAAGTATTGATTTTGAAGAAGTTTTGTTCGGGAGAAAGATGCCTGGTTTCGTTCAAGTGCAAGAGACAAAGAGAAGAAGGAAGCTCACGTGGCAGCTGGAAGGAAAATTGTAAAATGGGCCAACGTGTTCGTATGAATATCGGCCCAATTAGATAAACGGATCCATCAGACACTTCTCCAAAAGAGGGAATTTGTAGAAAGAAACTAAGTTGACGTCGTAATCAAATCGGAGATTTGTAAAGCTCGGGACTTTCTGACAAGCTGAGACCAGAGTTTCGGTGTGGTAGTGAAATCGATTTGTAGTCTTTGATTTGATTAGATCAGAATTTCCATCACAAAGCCCTAATTTTGCGACACTTATCTCTTCCGGTGTTCGATTTCAGCTCTCTCTCACTCTGTGAATTTCAGGTTCGTCCAATTATGATTAATAATTTTTCGTCTCGTTTTCGTTTTCCTCTGTAGAAATTGATTGTCCCTTAGCTAAGGCTCGTCTCTTTTTTGTTAACTGTTTGTTTCTGGGTTTCTTCTCAGCTCTTGTCAAGATATGAATCTAAGTATTTGCCCCTGATTTGTGCTCTCTCCTCTCTTTTTGTTCGTCAATCCTATGTATTGAGTAGTGGTCATCTTTTCGTTTTGCAGAATGTCTTCCAAGGAGCGGCTAGGCTCGAAGCATCATACTCGAGTGAGCCAAGGCGTGTCAACTAATGGAACATCATCATCGAGGCACCACGAGACCATCTCTTCAACATCTGATCACCGTCATCATCATCAAGACCACCGGACTTCCCATCCCGAGATCCTAGAAAGCAAGATTGCAGCTCGAGCTGCTGAGATAGACCGCCTCTCTAGTGACAACCGGAAACTAACCACAAGCTACGTAGCTCTCAAGGAAGACCTAACCGTGGCTGACCGCGAAGTCCAGGGTCTAAGAGCTCACATCAGAAAGACTGACACAGACTGCGAGATTCAGATCCGAGGGACCCTTGACAAAATAGCGAAAATCGAGGGGATTGTCAAGAACAGAGACAATATCAGGAGAGAGCTCCAATTAGCTCACATTGAGGCTCATAAGCTGGCGAGTGAACGTGAAGAGCTTGCTTCACAGGTGAAGTTAGCATTAAAGGAGTTGAAGAAGGTTTGCATTGAGGCAGAGGGTTTAGAGGAATCGACACAAGAGCTTGAGCGGTTAAAAGACGAGCACCAGAGATTACGGTAAAAGAAATGTCAAAGTAACTGTGAATAAGATTCATCAATCAGTTGGTTTTCTAATCTTTTGGTGCAATGTAACAGGGAAGAGTTTAAGGAAGAGAAGAGCGGGAACGTAGAGAAACTTGGACAATTGAAAGAGATGGAAAGGAAGATAATCGGAGCAGTACAAACTATTGAGAAGCTGCGAAGTGACATCGCAACCGCAAGAAGCAAAGCAGTCGAGAATTGAATCATTCAACAATCAAAACTATGTTCTTCTTTTTCATAATATATCAGAGCTTACTTTTTTTCATATCAACTGTTTGAGCGGTCAAGCGACTAGATCAACTTCATCACGTTGCGGGTAAACAACATCGAGCCTCATCATACTCATGTACTGGTCAGGCACAGGTGCACCACCTTGCACACACAGCTCCACAACCGCAGGAGCTTTCCCGTAAAACCTCTGCAAGCTATTGTCAAGAACCGAGCCACCAGGATCACGAACATGCCACACGTAGTTTGGACCGACGACATCGTCGATAGTCGCTTCTTGCCACGCATGCATTCCGTCTCTCATCTGATGCTTCGTGGCTTTACACATCCTCACTTTGTGCCCCTTTGGACCCACCTGAATCTCTGGACAGTACCCACAAGTCCACACTTTGTACCTCTCCATCAGTTTCCTCACCCCTGAAACCATTTCAAACCATGACTCTATAGTCTCGACGCTTACTTCCTTCAAGCTTTTCTTCTCTGCATCACAACGATCATCTTGTAAAACTTTAGTAATCGTAGTAGTAGTAAGTGCGGTTTCTGAAGTCCCATCATTGACTTCCTCGAAATCTACAATCCGTCCTTCAATGCTGTAAACAGGTTTCGATCTTCTCTTCGATGGGAATTTTTCGAGGTCTACGCCTGCTTGTATGCACAGCTCGAGAACCGCAGAGATTTTAGGGACTGTGAATCTCTCGTCGTGTATAACTCTCGGTTTGACAGCACGGTCGTAGAGGTGATAACATTTCGGGATCAACACGACGTCGCTCGCTCTTCCTCTTTTCCAGACGTGATTCGCGCTTCTTGATCCGCTCCCTGGGCCTGTGCAGGTCCTGATTTCATGACCTTCCTTGCCTATGTGAACCTCTGAGCAGAATCTGAAGAACAAATAATACAATTAACTCAGCCGAATTCGAATTCCAAAACTAACTAAGCTAAAACTGATTGTATCTCTCGGAAATGATTCAGATTAGTGGAATTTCTAGTTTGAGCAAGCAATAGGAATCGTAAGAGACTCAGAAATTGAAAGCAGAGAATGGGAACCTGCAGCGATGAACAGGAATGTGATGAATGATTTTGGAGAGGCCGGAGAGTAACGAGGCGCGACATCGGTGAACTCTGTGAGCCACGTGTACGAGTTCCGGCACGAGTAAGCCGTTATCCGGCGGATCTTCTAAGACTCGGCAGGGCTGTGATTTTCTCAGTTGTTTCTCCTCCTTGGCGCGGCGAATCAACTCCTTCATCGGGGTCGGATACGGTTTCCTCTCCGATTTATCCTTCCGAGGCTTGGGTACGTCGGCGTAGAGAGGATCGTCATCTTCACCGGTTGTTGAGGACGGGAAGTCGAGGTTGGTTAGAGAATTGATAGAAGATGATGAAAAATGGGATTTTCTGATTACAAAGAAGGAGATTTGCAGAAGCTTTCTTCTCTGCATTTTATTTTTTTCCCAATCGAAGGCTTAACGCTAAACCCTCAAGTTACTAATGGTTTATGTCAGGGGCTTGGAATAGACACGTGTCAACCTTGGTTTTGTCGTATTTATAGCGTCGTCACTTTCTCTCTTACTGGTTGCTCTGTTGATCTTTCATTTCAAGTCCAAAAACATTTCCACGAATTTTGTTCACCCCCAATTTCCAAGAATTTCCACTCTAGATGAATCAGAGTATGGGGATGATTGGTAGGGGCTGTGGTTGCTCTGCACAGCCCTAAATCTCTCTACATCAATACAAAATTACCAATCAAGCTCTCATTTCATCTCTTTCCATTTTTGAAACACAGAGCAATTTTATTTATTTATGGAAGTTCCGTGGCTTTGGAAAGCAATTTTTCTAGAGCACCAAATTAAGTGTTCTTAGAATTCTCTATCTTCTCTTTCCTTAATAATCTTTCAACATTTATTTTTAATCTATTATTTCTATATAACTTTTTTGTTTTAATGTTATATTTAATGACACAATCTATAATAAAAAATCTTACAGCACTAAAATCTAGAATCACAGCAAAAATTTCTACAGCATTAATTCTACAGCAAAAAAATTAAAGCTACAGCCACAACCAATCAGGCCCATATGTCTTCCACTAAAGTACGAAACCAAAGGATAGTATAAAATACAATGTATAGTTAAATCACGCAAGTCATCATATTATGAATCAGAGTATCTCAGTCTCAGGTTAAGTTACTCAATGAACAGAATGGAGTGATAATATGGTCAGTTCCAATTTGTAAGGTATTAATCCAGTGGCCATTACCAACATAACACATTAGCTAAAACCTCATAAGCAAAAATCAAGACTTTACCATTTTCTTGGAGAAGGATATGAAACGAGGAACATCGACAGAATTGTAAACCAGACATCTTCTCGAATGTTTTTTCAAAATTTCAACTGCCTCTTCGTGTCGTAAATTTTCCATTGTTACAATTCGTGTCTGTCTCCAGATGAATCTCGCGAGTCGCGATAATGCAATTATAAAGAAGAAAGACTAAGAAAATTAATATTATATATCCAAAAAAGGAAGTATTCAAAAAATCTCCCAAAGAGTACAACAATACAACATGGAATGGCCACAAAAATAGCCGGCAAAGAAGATGAGTGTAACCCAAGGCTTGTTACAGTGATAGCAAGAACCAAAAATCCTTGAATATGACCCAAAACCCCAAAACAAATACAAAAAGAAAATAAAAAAAAGATGAAGGAAAACCCCTGAAAGATTTATCTGGGTATTTTGATAATACAACAAAACTGGTGAAGCAAACCTGGATAGGTTTGTGGTCAACAAAGTTTATGATCTCTCCAAAAAAGAAAAAATCTTCACTGCAAAATGAGTTTTGTCAGGGTAAAATTTAACACCCCCGATTTACAGAACTCTAGGGTGTGTAGATGATATTATATAATATACTTATATTAACCTTTTTGTTATCTTTTAGGTCTCGTTTTCTCTTTACCTTTTTTACTCTGCTTGTTTTTGCTCAATGGTTAGTTCTCGTTCAAGAAAGGAGGAGGTTCTTCTCGGTTTTCAGAAACAGAAGCGACGCTAAAGCTGTTGTAGTTATCAATGCTACTGCTTCTTGGTTTGCCTGGTCTCGATCGTATGTTGCTACCCATCGGAAATGGTTCCTGCAAATACAACAGCAAAGGATAAAATTATGGAGCAAACGAATCACTGAATCTCATAACATAGTGACATCATAAGAACCACTAACAACGAAGTGAATCTGGATAAAAATGAGATGATTGGAACCAACGAAATGAAAACATAACGAGGAGATGTTTTATGAAGTGTTAATCTTTACCTGATCACCAGCATTTGGACCATCGGTGTGGAAGAGAATAGGCCGGCAACGTTTGTCTTCGTTCATTAAGCTTGAATTCTGGAAATGGGCAATTAGAGCTATTTTCCCTTGGATTCGAGCATATGTAAGGGTTGCCACCTTCTCGCTGTTGAACTTTTCCCACTTTTTGCCATTAAACGCCTGTGAGTGTGTTTAGAGCTTTTAACGAAATGCTCTTCCAAAAAAATCCAAAAGATATATGAAAAAGCAAGCAATAGAAGAAAACTGTACCTTAAAAAATGGGACAATCTTTTCAGGTTCGATAAGGTTAATGAAAGCATATCCCACATTGCATTTGTTCTGAAATCGGAAGGTAAGATTAGACTAAAAAAATATTGATATTTCAAATCACAAAAGCTCAGTTTCAGCATAAGACTTTTCTTATATAAAAAGGTAGGACGCCTGCTTGCCTTGAAGTCAATTGGCAAATAAAGGAAATCGTATGTTCCTTTACAGTGCTCGTCAATGGCAGATAGAAGCATCTTAGAAGTATACCTAAACCATAACAGCATAAAAAAAAAGAGTCAAGAGATGAAACAGAATACATCAAACAACCTACGAAGTTAACTAAAGATATAAACAAGGAATAAAAGGGAAACATTGAGTTCACTTACTTATTAGGAATGTTTTTAATCATCAATGTTGTCCTGCTATCATCCCCACGTAATATACGGTCAACATCGAGCTCATACAGTTTCTTGTCAGCATTACTAGAGCTAGACTCGCTTCTACGGTGAGAGAGGTTTCTGTATCGTTCATTCGGCGAGTCAAATGAGCCGGACATTGATGATAACATTGGGTTCCTCCCAGGGAAGAGATGAGACAACTGTTGAGGAGATCGCAGTACAGCATTTTGGGAATTTACATCCATGCGATTCCCACCAACATGGGAAAAACTCTTGTGAGAACCAATTTCCATTGGGTGGGAGGGTGAAGAGCCAGGAAACCCCATGCTACCATGAGAACCTATGTGGAAGCCAGATGATTCTAGAGATTCAGCTACATAGGCTTGTCTTCTTTCCCAGAAAGGTGAGTTTAATACTGGCGCAGATCCAATGTGGTGGTGCACAGGGGAAGATGCCATATTCACCATAATAGGAGGTGCTCTAGAGAATACAGTAGTAACAGGTGGGCGCTGAGTAGGAATGCTGTTGATGTGAGATGGCGAGTTAGGCCACATCATGCCACTTGACGGATTCTGTTGCTGAGTGTTAGCGCTGCTCCATAAACTGAGGTTAGGCCGGCGGGAGCTTTGATTCATGGGAGATCCTATGCCTACAGTCAGTAGCAATTTTTTTCTTATTCAATAAAACTATCAAGACAGTAGCAACTTTGAGATAAAGAACTTACCCCCTCCATTAAAGCCATCCCCTCCACGAGCATTATGTATCATAAAGCCTTCATTTGCTTTTGAGCCATCACTGACCATTTCAGAAAATGCTGTCGAGGACTTATATGGACTCCCATTTGCAAAGTTGTCGAGGTACTCCGGAAAAGAATGAGGATGAAGATTTGGCAGGCTTTGGATCCCCATATTTGAGCTATCAAAAGGGTGGCCATGCTCCTGAAGTCCGAGAGGCTTGCTGGCTGGAATGACGTTTGCAGAAGGTGAGAATCCAATAGGAATGCTGAGACTCCGATGACGTTCAATGAAGGAGTTCACAGGTGATCCAACAGAATTATGAATAGCCCGCATAGATCCACCATCCATAGAGGTTGATGAAATTATTCCTGGGAAATGTCTCCCTGAAACAGAGATATTTAACGGCAGTGACTTGAGTCCCAAGATGACAAATCACTAAAGAAAAAAGAAATATAAACCATGAATGCAAAAGCATACCCATGTGCCCGGATGATGTGTTATTAAAAGACATTTTAGGTAAAAACCCTTCAGCATCATGTGCAGCATACTGTGACGTGTATCTGGAAAAAAAAAATATATGAAAAAGGTGAGTCCGACAGCCCAACACACGAATTGGCGTCCTTGTAAAGACTTATAGCTGATCACATATACATGTTCAAATCAGTTTGTTTAGCATTTGCATTAGTTCAAAGCCACAAAGATATATAAACCAGGAAAAACAAAACAAAAAGCAATTTCCACCTTGTACCCTCCGGACAGGTTGCCACAAGTTTAAGCTGCTTCCCAGCAACCTCGAGTCCATTTAGTCCACCAAAAGCAGCCTCTGCAGCTCGAACATCAAAGAACTCTATGTATATCTGTGGGTTATCATGCATGGTTCTACGAATCTGCAAATCACAGAAACAGCATAAGAATCAAACTTGAAAAGTAAATACAAGGAGAACTGCATTATACCAACCTCTTTGATTTCTCCATATGATTTGATCATTCGATTGAGCTCTTCATTCGAAATAGAAGGATCAAGATTATTAATCAACAAGGCTCCTTTGCTCATATCTTGTTCTGAAGGATTTTCCTGATAGCAAGAAAAATTGTAAGCAAGACAGTAATCAACACAAGCTACAATCATAGTCCAAATAGCAAAGACAATATCTTCCTTAAGAAAATTGAATAACACCTTAGGGATAGAATAACGAATGTCAAGTTTCGCTCCTCTTAACAGCTTATTGTGGAGTGCTCTCGCCGCATTCTGAGCAGCCCTTATATCATAGTATGATACCAAGATAAAGCCACGATTCTTGCAAGCTGTCTGAAGAGCCTGGATATCTCCAAATTGCTGAACAATAGATTTATTTATCCTCAGTACCATGTGTTTCCTAAATAAAGAATCCAAGGGAACCAAAAACACTGCAGAAAGAATATACCTCAAAAAGAACCTTCAGCTCATAGTCTTCGATATTGCTACTGATATTTCTGGCCAAAAGTGTTCTGGATGGAATTTCCCCTCGATGATGTTCGCCAGCAGAATTATTGCCGCCTCTCTCACCATTTATGTGGTTCGCAGAAGAAAAAACATCTCCCTCTAGTTCCATGCCACCAACACTGCTGAAGAGGTCAAAATCATCCAAATCATCTCCATTGGCACGAGATTTACGCCCAACGTCACCCATCACTTCCGCAAAGAGATCATCTTCATCTGGGAGAAGATTTCCAATAGTTTGCGCCTCAATTTCTTCTAAA